TCTGCCCTGATGTTTCCCTTCTGTCTCTCTTGATGTCTTCCTTCTAACTAACTTTATTTTTCCCTTACAGTTTACATGTCCCAGCAAAATCTTTCAAGCACTATAAAAATTACAATGCAATTACAATCTATTTTTAAGAGAATAATTACAATGAATACAAATAAAATACAACATGCTTTCCCTATCTCTTATATGATTAAACATTTTGTGTATTACATGTAAAAAACAAGATGTTTCAAAAACCCACATACATTTATACCCAAGCAACTTGTCATAGATTAACAGAGTCTAAGCAAGCAAAGTATTTTTTCATGCCCAGTTCTTTTGCCAGCAAGCTGCATTTTGTCATTACAAAGAAAGGACCAATCATTTTATTATTTATCTCAAAATGTAACCTTATAAGAAATCTTAAAAGACACACGAATCTAAACTTTTATATATAAAAAGGAATCAGTCATCTCTACTAAGATCCTCAGGGTACATACCTATTACTCAAAAGTTTTTTCCATCAGAAAGCTGAGGACAGAAATGGGCATAAGGAATTAATCTTCACCCTTGATCACCAACCCATCCTAGCAAGAAAGGTACATCAGCAAGCAATAGCCAGGCTACCATTGTTCCTGCCTCTGACCTCAACAAGTCCCTCACTCAGCTATTAAAAGTATGCCCTTCTAAACTTTAAATTGTTTTCAAAGATTTTCTACTTCAAAGGCACTAGCAAAAATATCTTAACCAAACCTTAAGTCATACTTAAAGCTTTGTTTTAGCTATGATGTACCAAAACCTGTGAACATATCTCTCAATATTAAAAGAACTTAAGCTAACTTAGCTTCTGGGACTCAATTGTTTTTCTGAATCATTACCCAAAACCACAGTCTACACAGCTCCTCCAGAGAAACTAGCTATGTGGCATTTCCTTGTTCTTATTTTCTATCCTCTGCAGCCCCTACTCTATCAGGGGCGGGGGCAACACCATATCATGCCTTTACCTATGCAAAGACAGTGCAGTTGTAAGAGACATACTGGGGCCAAGGGTCTCTGAGCCTTGCCTATCTGAGATTCACCCATCAGTGCCTGGCATGTTGGTGGGCCAATCCCCTGAAGTCAATTGCTGCTCCTCTGACATAGTCACCAACTCTTGAATAATCCAATATATAACAAGAACATCTGTATAAAATGCCGACCTCACAGAGATGTCACTATGTTCAAATGATATAATCTTGTGATAATATATTGCATAGTAATACTAATGAATACTATACTAAAAATATATGTTGCAACATCTAATCAGAACAATTCTACAATGTGGAAAATACCTGGGAGGCACAGAGATGGAAAATATATCTGGAAAAACAAAGTCTTGCAGAATATCACAAGACCTGGGAGATTAAGACCTTCCAGTTAGGGACATGAAGGCCCCAGCTCATTCACCTTCCTCCCAACTTACCCAGAATGTCTCAGGGTGACTCCAGGGCTCTGGTCCAAGATCCTGTTCCCATTTATTCAGTATTGATAAAGGAAAAACAGCCTCTGTAGTCATCACCTGTGTCTCTACCATCCCTGCTCACATTTCTCATTCTGCTCATTCCTGGGACTAAGGGGCTCTGCATCCCAGAGGAGTCTAGATCCTGGAGGAACTCATTAAATAAGACAAAATAATTATTCAAGACCTCTCTAGGACAAATTCTCTTGGAGTCCTGTAGCAGTGACTGATTAGTCACTGATCATGTGTTATTGTACTTTGAGGGCCATGGGGATAGCGAGCACCTCAGAGAGATGCTCTTTGTCTGTCTAGGGAATCAGTAGTTGTCCTTTATGCTGGATCCTGAATTTGGGGAGAATAGTTTGAGAGGCCTAAAAATAAACAAGGACCTTGCTGTGAAGACTCTTAAATATCTTAGAAGCATTAAAGCTTAGGCTCTAGCCGGGCAGTGGTGGCGCACGCCTTTAATTCCAGCACTCGGGAGGCAGAGGCAGGCGGATCTCTGTGAGTTCAAGGCCAGCCTGGTCTCCAAAGCGAGTTCCAGGAAAGGCACAAAGCTACACAGAGAAACACTGTCTTGAAAAAAAATGTTGAAAAAAAAAGCTTAGGCTCTATCATATGAACAAAAATCTATCTGTGGTCTTTGAATACCACTGTGAAAGAGACATATTTCAGAAATATTTCAAGGGTAGCAAAATATTTCACTACAACCAAATTCCCATAAAACATATTCCAGCTAAGAGAGAAACCTTCAACTACAAGGACCCAAGCATATGAAGACACACAGGAAGGACAGGAATAAGAGAAAAGAGAGACTCTACCACATCCTGTTCAATTCTTCCTCCAGCCCAAAGAAAAAGGAAAATGGATTTGTATCTTATTCAGTTACTTCTGGCTTCTAACTTCTCTAGGAAAAAATCATAATAGTGCCCTCCACCATCATCCTAACCAGTCTTCTTAGATCTTAGATACCTTCCCAGTGTCAGCTTTTCCATTTGATCATTGTGATAGTTTGAATGTATTTGGCCCCATAAACTCACAGGGAGTGGCACTATTGGGAGGTGTGGCCTTGTTGGAGAAAATGTGGTCTTGGCGGAGGAGGCTGGATGACATACCCCTTCAATCCAAACCTTGAGGATGGAGAGCACACCTTTAATCTGGGCCACACCTTCTGTTGGAAGTGTGTCACTGTGGGGTCAGGCTTTAAAGTCTTTTTCTCAAGCTTCACTCAGTGTGACAGTCAGTGGACTTCCTGTTGCCTCTGAGTCAAGATGTAAGACTCTCAGCTCCAGCACCACATCTGCCTGCATGCCACCATGCTCCCTGCCATGATGGACTGAACCTCTGAACTGTAAGCGAGCCCCCTCAATTAAATGTTTCCTTTATAAGAGCTGTCATGGTCATGGTGCCTCTTCACAGCAATAAAAACCCAAACTAAGACAATCATAAGATTATAGTTGATACTTTTAATGTCCCATTCTATACTTATCCTCTGTTCTCTTTTCATCATTCTTCAGGAATATGAATCTTCAATAGTACTGCCTTCATTGAATTGCTAGAATAGCTGCCTTTGATTTGTTGACACAAAAAAAAGATCCTATGGTTGGCTTTATTCTCTTAGTAATATACACTTACATTTCTGATTCTTTTAGTTGTGAATTGACATTTCACTGTCTGTAGTACCATAGTTTACCCATTAACCTGACAAAGAACGTCTTAGTTGCTCCCAGTTGGGGCAATTACGAATGAAGTTCATATAAATAAAATTCCTGGAAATTAGATATGATCTTTTTCTTCACTGTATACAAGAAGTATTTTACTCCTTGTTAGCTATGATTAAATTACCTCAGGCAGTATAGCAATTCCTTCTTTACTTTTGGTTCAGAAACATCAAGAGCCCCCAACTTGTTGGCCAGCAGTCTCACTGTCTAATAGAATAGAGTCAGTGAGTAATGTTTATACATGCTCTTTTTTTCAAATGTTATCAAATACATCTTATACAGTGTCAGATTCTCATCTGTCCTCTCTTAATCCAGACATAGCTATGGCAAGAAGTTCTGCAGACTTCAACCTGCTCCACATAGAGCAGTGGTTCTCAACCTTCCTAATGCTGTGACCCTTTAATAGAGTTCCTCATGTTGTAGTGACCCCCCAACCATAAAATTATTTCCATTACTATTTCAAAACTAATTTTGCTACTGCTTTGGATCATAATGTAAGTATTTTTGGAGACAGAGGTTTGTCAAGAGGGTCACAACCCACAAGGTTGAGAACCACTGATGTAGGGTTTTGGCAGGGTTACCTCAGACCTGTTTTGCCTGGTTTTTTGTACCCTAGCATTGGGTTCTTATGGTTCCATGAACTGACACTCACACATTCAGAACCTGAAACTGTAGGGGAATTAATGCCTATGGGTCTACTCTTAAATGTGGGTGCTAGATGCTAATGTCTAAGTAACTCTTAGTGGTGGCTAAATAAGCTACCCTATAATTTGGTCTCCCTTTTCCCTATTTAATGCATCCTATCTCTCACTTCTCCACACTGAATAAAGCTCTCAGATAATGCAACTGGAAATACGACTTTTCTCAATATATGCTTTTAAGTTTCACAGACTAGAGAGCATGAATCATTTCAGACTGAAAAATAACTCATGAGTTATTATGGCATTTGTGGAGAAAATAAAGCTGCTTAGAGTTTGGACATTTTTCCTGTTGTTAAAACATTTTAGGAGGCATCAGACCACATTACTTTGTCTAACTTCCATCCTGTAAATCAAGGAAAGAGATCAGCTGAAATATGACTATGAGTCCATCCAAAAGCAAGGACAGCAAAGAAGAATGGAGTGGCATAACACAAAGATGAGAAGGTAATGCAATGAATCAAAAAAGAAAAGCCCAGAATGGCTTGAGGCATCATTGTTGAATGGTAATTATAACTTAAAGTTATATATAGGCAAACGGCTTTTAAATCCTAGTTAAAATTTTCCTGAGTTTTAACCAAAACAACGGAATAGAATACAGTAGGTTCAATTCTTTAAGTCAACCCATGAGTACATGGACAACATAAATTAGAGTCCATGGGTTTTTAAAAGAGGACACCAAGTTGGGTGGATATAAAAGTGGGGAATCTCAGAGAAATTGGTGAAAGGAGTGAATTTGATCAAAATACAATGTATGAAGTACTCAACAAATCAAAATATTTTCTAAATAATTGAAGTAACTAAATGACCTGCATAAACTAACAGTTGCAAAATAGCACTTAAAACAATACTCATATCTCTCTTGTCACTGATAGTGAGATGCCTCCAGTAGTGTCCTTTGAAGTCTGATACCTACACCTAAGATACAGTTTTCAGCCCTTTGGCTAAAATCAAATAGATGAAGTATCTATTTCTGTCTATTGCAGTGAGCATTTTTATTTGAAGTGGTTCTTCAAATTTAGCAAATGTAAAGCATAGCTCAATAAAACTTCAAAATTAGAAAAAAATCTAGCCACACTGTTTGGGTCAAATCTGTAAGAAAAGGTTTATTTTTATAAAAAGATGTAAAATACAGAAAAACAAGAGTGATAAAACCATGCAAGAGATAAATTAATAAGAGCAAATACTTCAATCTATACTTATGACTCCCTTTGTCACTATTTACATTTCATTCATTATTTTAGTATGATACTTCATCTCAGCATCAGCAATGGTAACAAATGCTTGGAAAGTCTTTTGTTCAGAAGCAGATGCTGGTCTAACAGACACACACTTGAAAATGTTCTTGTCTGGGTCATAGTGCCCAACACACCTGTGAACTCGGCCTCTGATCAGTCTTGGAAGTTCACGATCCTGTTGTTGTTCAAAAGATAAAAGTCAAAAATTATTTATTACTTCATCTAAGCTTCAATGTCTAATTTATAATGTGATCAATTAAATGTTAAACACCCCAATGACATGATTCTCTGTGTTACTTACAAGATAGCTAGGTATACACATATAACTTGTCATAGATAAATGGCCCTAACCTGGATAAGGCTTCTTATAAACTAGAAAGAAGTTGATTCCAGGAAACTTTAATAATCTCCCATAATGGCTCATGAATTATATAGTCCTTTTGCTAAAAGAATTTCAACTGCGATGGGACTGTGGCCTGTATTTTCATGTGGTCTTTTGTTGGTGGTGGTGGTAGTAGCCATAGACATTGAAAATGAACACTTTAAAATACTCACAATTTCATAAAATACACATGGAAGAGTATTTTTCCCATCTCTCATGAGAAAAGTCTTTGAATAATGTGGTCCAGGCGTGACAGCTGAATCCAGGACAGCTAAGCAACATTGAAGTGTGGAAATTAATAAGTAAAATTTAACAAAGAAAATGTTATATTTAAGTGTTATCCCATAACAGCCTCCCCCAGTTCTACTTATATACAGTGGTATTTTACAGAGGAATTGGATCCTTTTGGTGTGTTCTGTAGGCTAGCTGAATTCCAGAGCTGTCATAACAATAAAATGCACTATAACAACAAATAAGCCTTATAGTCTAATGAAAACAACAATGAATCAGAATTCTAGTGTCAGGTCTTCAGCTTCATACTATGTTGTGACATTGTTCAATTGGATTTATTTCGTTTTCTAAAATGAAATATATTCATGTAAGATGTACATGTACAAGAATAGAGAAAAAAAGAACAAATAGATCACAAATGTTTTCATTACTTCTGGCAATCAAGCTGACATGTCTATCCCCTTCCACAGCTACATTTTGGGGTACGGTAAAAGCATGTAAGATATGCCTTTTGAGATAATTTTTTTTTTTTTTTTTTGGTTTTTCGAGACAGGGTTTCTCTGTGTAGCTTTGCGCCTTTCCTGGGACTCACTTGGTAGCCCAGGCTGGCCTCGAACTCACAGAGATCCGCCTGGCTCTGCCTCCCGAGTGCTGGGATTAAAGGCGTGCGCCACCACCGCCCGGCGTTGAGATAATTTTTAATATATATTTACTATAGTTTTATGAAACACACTAGCTCTCTAGGCTGATTCATCCTACATAATTGCAAGTTTATATTTTTTAATCTACATCTTCTTCTTATCTCCTTCTCCTTGATAAAATTGTTCATTTCTCAAAGCTGTTTCTTCATCAATAAATATAAGTCTTAATTCACGTTTAGCACCAGAAATTTTTATCAAAGGGTGTTGTTATTCAATCACTTAATAAAAATTTCCTGAGTACTGGTAGTAGACACCTGTTATTTTGAAGCCAGCCTACGTTTCCCCAAATAAACATAATCTCCTTATCCAATTTGTGTTATTCTTCATGATACCCTAAGTATTCCTAATTGCATTAAAAACATCCAAATACATTACTGAAGTATTCTTGAAATATTATACCTACCCAATATTTCAAAAAGAAGTACAGTTTTCTGCACTTGTGCACGCCAATACCTCATGCTTTCAATGACTGCAGAAATAATTCTTAAAGAATTATCCTTTTCCTTTAACTGACGCAAGGGGGCTTCCTTTGGGGGAAAAAAGCATTGCATTAGAAAAGTGTTTCATTTTATTCATTATACTTTTTGAACTACGTAGAGTCTAGGTCCTTATAACAAATAAATGTGTATAATGTGTAAAAAGAACTATTAAAAGTTTCAATGCAATTAAATCCCCAAATTAAAGCCAGCATTACATTGCATTGCATTATAGTGTGAAAACCAGAATGTACTTAAAATAAGAAGAGAACTATGGGGCAAGAGAGATGGCCCACTGGGTGAAGCACTTGCCATGTAAGCCTGATGACCTGAGTTTGATCCCCAGAATGTATGAAAAGATGAAAAGAGAAAAACAACTCTACAAAGTTGTCCTCTGACCTCCACACAAATGCCCTCTGACCTCCACATGTTTTGCTTATGTGTACATATGGGTATTCCTGGTACCCACAGAAGTCAGAAAACGGAGTCAGATCCCCCAGAACTGGAGTTTCAGAAGGTTGTGAGCCATCATATGGGTGCTGGGAACAGAACCCAAGTCCTTCAGAAGTGTGGCCAGTGCTCTTAACCACTGAACCATCACTTCAGCCCCATACTTTATGGGTGTGTTTGTGTGTGTGTGTGTGTGTGTGTGTGTGTGTGTGTGTGTGTGTGTGTGTGTGTGTGTGTTTGAAGATCTGAAAATACAGATTTTAATCAGAGCACTTAGGAGGCAGAGACAGGAGGAGCTCTGGAGTTTTAGGCCAGCTTAATGTACATAGGGAGTTCAGGGAAACATAGTGAGACTCTGTCTTAAGACAAAGAAATAATAAGCAAAAACGATGCTAAATTTCAAGGGTAGGGGCACAATTTTCTTTCTGGGGGTGAGGGTTGTAAAGAACACTGTTGAAACTTTTTTCAAAGTGTCCCAATCTTCACCATCCTAAACAGGATTTAAATATGCCTCCTTCAAGTTGACTGCCACAGTGAGCAACTGTTACTAGGGTGACAATGACATATCATCCTGTGTACAAGGTAGCATAACATTGAGAGTCACTATAAAACATGCTATCTTAGTCATATTTCCAGGAAATAAAGGAAAACAGAATTGACCCTAATTGCTTGCTGAACACAAGATGGTCAGATTATGGTCAAAACAAATATATAGCACTTAAGCATCCAAACGCTAACAACAGTAAAATGTTGAAAAGGCAAAGGGAGAAAAATAAAATGACCAAGACCATGAAAACTAGGCTCATGGAGGGACACAGACATTGCTAGTGATATGATATTGAAGTAGGGAGAAAACAAAACCTCCACCTCTCCCCCACTTGGACATCCTCCCAGTAACCACCCATTAACTGATCTCTAGTTGAAGCCAGCAAAGAAAGGATCCCAGGGTGAGGCACCAGGTAGGGAAATGCAGCCCTCCAGAACACAAAATGCACACGGGAACAATCTATTGGGCCTCGGGAAAAGGAGTGAGAGAGAAGATAACCTACACATCCAAAGAAAACATTTCAAAGAACAATTAGAAGTGCAGCTGAGGAAAAGGTACATGTTCTCTAGAAGAACACAATTCAAAGCTGAGAGGTATCATAGTATACACCATATTTATTCCAGTGTGAAGAGTTCAGGATGAACAGCACTTTGTAATATGGTGCAGAAGGCAGGAAAGGCAGAACAGGACCAGATTGTAAAGCAGAAGTCAGTGAACTATGGCCTACACTCCAAATCTAACCCACTGTTTTGTCAACTTTTATTGGACCACAGCCATGCTCATTCATTAATGAAGTCTGTGGCTGCTTCCAAGTTATAATGGCAGAGTTCAGTCATGAAGTAAAATAACTACAAAAAAACAGTAAGGTTCATAAAGCCAAAAACTGGCTATTTATGTGAATCTGCATACACCATGTATGTATACTTACTACACGTTTTAATATGTAAATAAGCCATTCATTAATATTTAACTGTTTACCTTCAGAGTGTTTTCTCCTGGAGTGTCACCCAACACTGTTTTCTTAAACTGGTTTTGTTGAAAACGGGGCTTAAATGCCTGCAGTGCACTAGCTCTGTCTGGGCCTTTCACTGTAGGGCCAGGCACTTTGGAGAAACATGTTTGTCTGAGTACTTCAGTTTCCCTGTTTCCATGCAAGTCAGGAAATTCAGGTGTTCCTGACTGTTTCTGTCGTTGAGCTCCCAGATCCACTGCACAAGAACTGAATTCACTATTTGATGCTGGGCTTGCTGTTTTACACTGAGGTCGGAAATCATTTTTATTCCAAGTTCTCAAGCTGGTATTTCTGTTGTCACCTCTGTAGCTGTAAAAGTAAACATACTTCCCTGTCTTTTTATTTAGGAACAACTGATGATTTTTTTCATTTTTATGACAATTAATGGTTTACAACTACTAAGCAGTGAGAAATTTCAAACACATCATTCATTACACAATGGTACAATATATTATTACTTCTCTTTCCAGATGAAGAGACACCCTTAGGGAAGAAGTGACTCATACAACGTTATACAGCAGCAGGTCACTGCTAAGTTTAGAACTCGGAGAAGTCCAGTCTCCCAACTCAGAGTACAGTGCTACAACCATGTGTTTACAATAGTCAAACCCTCATATAACAATAGTTTCCAAGTAATAATATTGAGAGGAATTTTTCTTAATTCCTTATACTATTTTGAAATTTTCTACAAAGTAAAAAAAAAAAAAAAAAGGTACAGCTTGCCTGAAAGGTTATTTAATATTTTGTGCTTTGAAAAGCCCTACTAACCAACCTATTTTAGCATTTATTTACCACATGAATCTAAATGACTTATAAAAGCTGGTCAGTGTAGGATGTTAATAAGACCCATACAAAATTATTTCCTAAGCAGGCCAGTTAAGAGTTCTAGGGAAAGGAGAAACTAGTCCAATTTACAAGTTCTTAATTATGAATACTGCAAGCATTGCAAGACAATCAATACAATCCATCCTCTGTTTTAAAGAGGAGTGGGGAGAATCTAGTGATCAGCAAAAAGCCTAGGTTTTATGGGGCATAAGGCTTGAACAGTTTGAGAAACACTTAATAAATTAAGTATAAATTTAAGAATAAATAGGATGAAAAAAGAAATCACAATTATGAATCTTTAGGTTATAAACAACATAAACATCATTAGTATACAGAAAAATACTAGAATTATTGCTATTCACTCAGGGTTTGATACACTCTGTTGTGCAACTATTTCCTCTTAATTGAAACATTCCTTCCTAGATGGGAGAGGAGGCTCAAAAGATTTAGGCAGCTAATGAAATTCACAAGACTCAGAAAATCACAAGATTCAAGCCCTTCCCACAGTTACATAAGCAGCAAAAAACTGTTGCAGAGCTGACATTCTTTTGGCTAAGGTACCCACTAAATGTGCAGAGAACTCCAGAAATGAGCTTCTGTGAGTCATCAGCTATGCTGGGTAAGCTTTTCCATGATGCAGCTGCCCCTGACCCCTCCATGCTCCTATATGTAACTTTGCACACATGCTCTTTATATTATTTAAAAAAATCACTGAGAATCACTATAAAACATGCTATCTTAGTCATATTTCCAGAAAACAAAAACAGAATTTATCCTGGTTCCTAAAATCAATGATTTTTAGATTTCTGAGTAAAACAAACACAGAACACTTAAGCGCCCAATTAAAGAACTAGCAAATTTTTTTTAAAAAAGCTATATTAATTCAGCTACTCAAACATGCACATGCCTAGACCCAAAGTCCATACATCTCAGTGAACCTCTATGTAATTAGAAGAGTTATTCTGAAGGCATGGAGCTTTGCTTGGGATTGGTATACTTTCACTAACTATTAGACTTTCGTGCTCTATCCACCACCAAAAAAAAACTAGGTCCTCATCTCTTACCCTGACCAAAAAAAAAAAAAAAGAAGAAGAAGAAAGAAAAGAAACAAAACAAAATATTAAATAAATAAATAAAACTTCCAAATGGATTAAAAATCTCAAAATAAAACCTGAATGTACTAGAGGGAAAAGTAAGGAAAACTCTACAAGATAAAGGCACAGTTAAGGACTTTCTAAATAAATATAGTTGCATAGGCCATAAGGCTAACAATTAACAAATGAGACCTCATGAAATTAAAAAACTTCTGTACGGCAAAGGGCATGATGGTCAGTCAAGTGAAGAGGCAGTCTTCATTATGGGAGAAAATCTTTGCCAGATATATTTCTGTCAGAGAATTAATGTCTAGAATATACAAAGAACTCAAAAACCTAAACACCAAGAAAACAAACAACCTAATCAAAAGAAAGTGAGTTGTAAATTTAAACAGAGAGCTCTCAAAGAAAAAAATACAAATAATTAATGAACATTTTTAAAAGTGTTCATTAGCCACCGGAAATGCAAATAAAACTACTTTGAGATTCATCTCATCACAGTCAGAAGAGTTACTATAAAGAAATAAAATGATACCAAATACTGATGAGGATGTGGGAAAGAGGAACTCTAATTTACTGTTGGTGAGAGTGCAATCTGGTACAACCACTAAGGAAATTAAGTGTGGAAGGTCTCAAAAACACTAGAAATATAAGAACCTGTGGAAGGTAGGTAGGGTTGCTATGAAATGTTGTCTTCTGGACATTATATGGCAATTGTGCTCATGAACTCACAGGAGCTGGGGTTACCTGCACAAAATCTGCACAAGCTCAAGCCAGTCAAACTTCCAGCATAGAGGCAATAGGTAATCTCTAGCCTCACCCCCTACAAGGAAAAACTGGCAGCTGATAGTTTCTGGAGAAGAATTATTGTTTTTTGATGATGTGCCACCGACAAGATTCCCATGCTTCAGTGGTAGCCTCACACCCATGCACATATGGACAACACTAATTGAACTTAGTGGATTATTTAATGGAGAGTGGCACACATCTTTAATCCCAGCACTCAGAAGGCAGAGGCAAGGGGAATCTCTGTGTGTTCAAGGCCATCCTGGTGTATATAGTGAGCTCCAGGATAGGCAGGACTACATAAAGATATCCTGTATCAAAAAACAAAACAAAAACAAAAAACAAAAAAGACATGAAGTTGAAAAGGGGACATGTTGAAATACATGGAAGAGTTGGAGTAGGAAATAAGTGTTATATATAGTCATATTTCATTGTATATGTGTATGAAATTCTTGAATCTAGTAACAGAACTACTATATGACCAAACTATATACCCAAAGGACTTTATATCCTATTACAGAGATACTTCTTTATCAACATTCATTGCAGGTCTAATTACAATAGCAAAGAAAGGTAATCAGCCTAGATGTCCATTAGCAATGAAGAGATAATAAAAATATGATTCATATATACAGTAAAATCTTATTCTGTTGTAAAGAAAAATTGTGAAATTTTCCAATAAATTGATGAAACTAGAAAATATTATACTAAGTGAGGAAACACGGGCTCATATCAACAAAGGCCATGTTCTCATATGTGACTTCTGGCTTCAATTTTTTTAGATGTCTATGTTTAACTTAGAGTACCTATAGAGGCCAAGAAGCTAGAAAGGGGACACTGAGGAAGTACCTTAAGGGAAGCATAACAGAATATAGGCGATATGAAAGTAGAGATAGGTAATACTGGGGGTGTGAGAGTTTATGTAGGAATGAGGATAGGCATACAGGGAAGATCAGGGACATAACCAAAACAAAAAGTATATGAAAAAAGCTGTATGAAAACCTACTATTTTTAAGTCAGTTTAAGACTTCCATATATATCCACAACTTTTACTTCCAAAGATCAAAGTAAACCACAGATAAAAAATATTTGGAAAAAAATTACAGCTATAACCAACATATACTTTGTCATTATTACTTATGTACACCATGACAACTACATAATATTTACAATGTATTACACTGTGTAATTTAAAGTACACAGGAATGTGTACATAGATTATATTCAACTATCAGTTATTTATTAATGTAGAAACTGCCTAAATGTACTTCTAAGAAAGAAAAAAGTTTTTTTAAGGAAAGAAGAGGAGAAAGCATAGGCAGACTTACCCCCAACCACTTTGGCTTCTTTCAGCATTTGACTGAATAGATTTAGTCACAGAATCTTGACTTTTCAGGGGATAAGAAGCAGAAGCTGGTATTTGCCTTTCAAGGAAATATCTTGTTAAATGCAGTTTGTTTTCAAATTGAGAAATGTAAAATGTATCCAGAAAAGTAACATCAGTCAGTAACAGACACACATTTATTGGTTCTTATTTTTATACATACCTTGTATTCATTGTTTTGTTTAAAGGAGTCACCTCTGGATTCACAACTTCCCACGCCCAATCTCAAAAGTATAAGAACAGATAAAAATAAGATAATTTTTTTCAAAATAATTCCTTAAATTTAATTAATTTGGGAGCTCTAACAAGTGAAAGATATAGACACAGTCTTCAGCAGCAATTGGTTGTGGGATTTGTCATAGCCTGCCTAATTTTACAGACGTCTTTCTTCCCCATTGTAAAGATAGTAGTTTAATCTTTTTCACAATCAATCCTAATATAGTGCCTTGTAATTGGCAACATAAATTTAGTCGAATCCAATGTTTCTTAAACTTTATTCTACCCAACATCAAGAAATGCATCATAACTGGTAACTAAATAGCTAGTATATGAGACTAACAGAGACACAGAATCATAGGGTAAGAACAAAAATTTAACATCAAATCTAATCTTTAATATGCATGATATACACTGACATTTTCTACTCTGTTCTAGTTACTCTCTTATGTTTTAAAGATTTCTATTTTGTGTTTTAATTATGGGGCACAGTGCACATGAGTACAGGTACTCATGGAGGCCAGAGGATCCCCTGGAGCTGAAGTTATAAGGAAGTTGGAAGATACCTGACATGGGTGCTAGGAACCAAACTCAGATCCCCTGAAAGACCAATAATCCCTCTTAACCACTCAACCATCTCTCTATTCTCTTACTCTCTTCTTTTTTTATTGTTACTAATAAATTTTTTATTCTATATGTTTTTCACATCATGTATCTTGATACCATTCATTCCTCATCCCTCTGCCCCTGCACCTCCCCTCAAATAAAACAAAATTCAAGAGAAAAAAATGAAGAAAATAAAATGAGGAAAAATTTTAAAGGGAAGGAATTAAAAATCTCATCATGGAAGCTGCAGTGTGACCCAACAAATCACGCTGTATACCCCTTTGTCCATACATCTCTACTTGCAAGTGTTCATTGCAAAGAGTCATTGGTCTGGTTCGAGGCCCTGGTCTCCACTACCTGTTCGATGCTGGGCCCCTACTACCACTAGGACTCTTCCTGGACATCCCACTGCTGCCCTGTGTTGTGGAGATCCTGCAGCTTTGGGTCTGCATGTCAGGTTCCTTCACATGCTCCAGCAAATCATAGATGGGGTGGATGTTGGAGCAGACCAAGTCATACCCTGGGTCTGGGCCTGAGCAGCTGTAGAGTTGGTCCACCAGATGGGAAATGGGAACAGCTGTCTCATGTTCACAATTTCAGGGGTGGCTCACCCACACTTCTGCTAACAGGGTTGGATCTGTTGTGCTGCCCTGATGGGGTGCAGGGCCTATTCTCCCGAGTGTTGCAGCTGGTGGGGGTCAAGAACAGCTCTTCCACTCTTATGACCACAGGGCCAGCTCTCCCACCTGTCCCAGGCATTGATGGGGGGGACATCTTTGCCCTGCCTATTATGCCACAAGACAGATGTTATTCTCTTCTTTTAAAAGTTGACTGTATCCCAAACTAATAGGTCAAGATAAAAATTCATATTTCCTCATGGAACAGTTCACACTTGTAATTTCTCAAAATCAGTATTCACATTACTTACTAAACATTTTAAATGGTGAGGAAGATTTTAAGTGGTAAAGAATGATAAGATAAATGCTGACTTATGCATGTCCATTTTCTACTTTTTATCCATAAAAAAGAAATGAGGGCCAAAGATAGCTCTCTGTGTGGGTAAAGGTATGTGCCATGCAAGTCTCATATTCTGAGTTTGATACCAGAATCCACAGTGAAATGGAAGAACTGACTCCCAAAAGTTGTCCTCTGACCTACATACACATACCATCATGATATGCATACAAGTGCACTCATTCACACATACTAATAATAAAATTCAAATTTTGAAAATGGGAATGTTATATGTTAACTTTATACTTTTAAATTCCTAGTAAAACAATTTAATGACTAAATCAAAGTATATGGAAGTACACTAAATGAAATTTAAAATATGAGTATTGCTATACATAAAAAAACTTAATATTTTATTCACATATGATTCCATTAATAATTTTAAAGTTTGTCCACAAAATTTAAATATATATGTAACATAATGTACCAAATATATTTCAGAATGTCTGCCTATCAGTGCAGAGGTAGGTAAAAAGTCAGTGAACACTGAGCCAATGAACAAGATGGCTTAGTGGGAAGGCTTGCCATCAAGCATGGTGACCTGCATCTCATCTCTGGAACATACATGCACACACATACACAAATAAATAAAGTGAAAACTGAAGTTGACAAACATTTAAGATCTCCCAACACTCACCACTATAGCTTACTGGTTCACAGGGTGACAAGCTTTTAGTGGTCTCACTTAAAAGGTGACACATATTGGAAGCTTCCTGACTCCAAAACTTAATCAAGAGTTACTGAAGGCTGTCAATCTCTAAGAAGTAAAGCTAGAATATGTAGACTCCCAGCAACGGCAACTTATATAATGTGCTAGTCGAAGCTTTATAAGGGAACACTAGATGAGTGTATCTTAGAACAAAATATCTTAAATTGGGTAATTTACACATAGGAACTTTCGACAGTGCTGGAGACTACAACAGCTTCGATTGAGGTGACAACAAACCACGTTTGGTGAAAGCATGCTCTCTGCTTCAGAGAGCTCCTCTTAGTATAGCCTCACACGACAGAAGCAGCAAACATACTTCTCCTTCATCCTTCCTTTATATGGTCACTAATCCTGTGCATAGCGGTAGAGTCCTCACAACTATAAGCACCTCCTAAAGGCCCGTCTCCTACTCAGTGGTTAAGTTTCAACTTAAGAATTTTCAGACAAAAAAAGACAGGCAAAAATGCCCCTAGAAAGCAATGACTAGAACCAAGCTCCAGAAATTCCTGGGCTTATGCCTTTTCTACAGTCTATTTTTTCCCTTTTTTCTCATACTCTATATAAACTCTTCCCTGTTTTTGAGGTAATTCAAATCCTTTCATTCTTTCCTACCAAATACATAAGTCACAGTAATCTATGTTTTGAGAAATAAAAATAATCTTTTCAATGTAGGTTTCTACTTTATTAGAACAAAGGCTCCAGACATAAAGATACTCTATTTAAATGCTAAGCCACCCTCGTAGACAAGGCAACTCAAACTCCCATGCTGGAATGCTCAGAAGGAGCCAAGTCTTCTCTATATCTGGGCAGTGAAAAGCAGCAGGGACTAGCTGCAATGAGAGACCCAGTAACTTTCCGCAATCCCAGTTCATACCTCTTGAAATTTTCACCTTACTCATTTCCTTACCTGTGGGTAGAGGAGGGGAACCGTAACTGTCAGAAACAGTACTGATACCTGGATCATTCTGAAGTGGATTAGAAGTTAATGGCTGTCTGTTCCTCTTTTTCTGATTGAACAATGGCACAGGCAAACAGCCTACATTGAATGTACCAATAAATTAGTATAAGACAAGTAAATAAGTATATCTACTTCTAGACTAATTATCATTAATAATATGTAATGATGCACAGTTTGTCTACTTCTATTTGCTAATATACCAGATATATATATATGCCCTTGAAATGATTTTTATAATCTTTTAGAAGTCCTAAATAGCTCACCAGCATCTCTAAAATCCTTTCTTCTTCTATCTTACCACTTTAATTCTTTCTTGTAAGCAATCCCTGTCTCTGTTTTTTCCCCCAAACACTTCCCAAATCTACTTCTTTTCCTTATTTCCCTCTTCTGCTTGTCTTTTCCTTATCAGCTGCAGAGTACCTACAGAATATATCCAAGCTAAGAAAGATGAATCATGCTTGCCAAAAATCTAATCATGCTTTAGTGTGTGACAGACAGCCTCTAGGGCCATAGTTATCAAATTTCAGTTTGACTAAGATTTATCCTGGAATTCTGATTAACATGTGGGTTCCAAGGTCACAATCTTCAATGTTGAAATTTTTATCTCAATATATTTAGTCTGGAACCCAAAATTATAATTTTAACAAATGTCCTAGCTATCTATAATGATATTTTCTATTGATCATTTTGAGAATGTCTTAAGACAATGATTCTCAACTTTACTAATGCTATGGCCCTTTAATACAGCATGTTGTGGTGACCCAAACCATAAAATTATTTCCTTGCTACATCATAACTGTAGTTTTGCTACTGTTATAAATTGTAATATAAATATCTGATATGCAGGATATCTGATATGCAAACCCCCTACAGGTTAAGAACCACTGTCTTAAAGGAATGACAATACTCAATCCAAGTGAAAATAAATACTATCACCACTTCCTCCAGATTGAAGAATCAGGATCTCCAGTCAAAAAATAAATAAATAAACTTTAAAAACTACAAAGGACCGGGCGGTGGTGGCGCACGCCTTTAATCCCAGCACTCGGGAGGCAGAGCCAGGCGGATCTCTGTGAGTTCGAGGCCAGCTTGGGCTACCAAGTGAGTCCCAGGAAAGGCGCAAAGCTACACAGAGAAACCCTGTCTCAAAAAACCAAAAAAAAAAAAAAAAAAAAAACTACAAAGGAACTCAGGGTCAAAAGAAGTCTTCAAAGAAAGAACTAGGAAAACCTAAATAGGACCCAAGTTCCTAAATCTCAGTCCAGAAACTTTTGACACATTACCATTGTCTCGCTGACCCATTCTCACTGTACTGAAATACTAACTCTGGACACTTTCTAATGAAAAACTAGAATCTTGGAGGCTCTTGAGTTTTAACTGTGCCTTCAAAGTGAATCTGAAATACAACTTCAAAGTTAAATGTGTGCAGTTTCCTTAAACTCTTTGTGGCCATGATACATACAGAGAAGTGTAACGTAATGATTAAGAGTATGGACTCTAAAATCAGAAATTTCTAGGTTCCAGTCCTGTTTCTACCACTCAGTAGATTATTTAAGGTCTTTGTGCCTTGGTTTCTTATCTAGAAAACAGAGGTGATGATAAGGATTAAATAATACCTCAGATTAAATGTCTAGAATATGGTGTGTCCACCATAAATTATTATGATGCTCTTCCCTATACATTATAATCATTTCCCTGGCTCTCATCATTCTTGACTGCTATCCTTACATTACCTAGTAACTGAGAAAATATAAACACAAAATATTAGAAAACAGAAATGTGTCTGAAAACATTTTGAACAAGTCAATCACAAAAACACAAAAATGTATTTCTTTGTTTCTGGCTTACAAGCATAAGTAAATCAATCAGTCAAGTTTTGTAGAAAAAAAAGCATGAGAGTAAATCTCAGTAAGTTTAACTTTACTCTCATCTCTCTAGTACTAAATAATTCGCCTTGACAAACTTACTTTACCTCTTTTGGATATAAAAAGAAAAGAGGCTAGACTAAATGTTTAATCTCTTTAAAAAGTTCCTTCTAAATGTTCCTAGAAACTATACATGGCTTATGTGATATCTAAAAAATACCTAAAAATTTAAAAGTTGTTCAATACCTGCTGTACTTCGAGTTGAATTTTCATTTAGGTTTCTCTTCATTTTCTTCAGTATCAAAGCTTTTTTTTTACTTAGCACTTGACATTTACAAAATGAAGCTGACTAAACCTTCAAAGGAAGAAACTTGTAACTCATATTTATCAACAAGATCAACTTTTCAGCCTACTAAATATGGACATTATGGTTTAAAACTTTCAAATGTGATCACTTCAGGAATTGCTTTATGACTAAGAATTTGAAACCTAGCCCATTTTTCCAGCTATGTTCAAATAAGTTATGATGGGGTGGGTGTAATCTTGTTTTCTAAATATATACAGATTTTTCACACAGTCTAAGTAAGGGAAAGGGACTAAGGGCACTGGCAGACTTAGAGAAACAAGTAAAACATTATTTTCATTGTATTTTGTCTGCTTTTAGCTTCCTAATATACTTGTATCTTAATTTAATTTGTTTAATACTTGCCCATGAAAAGGCCAGACACAAACCCAAATAATTTCTGCTGCAAATTCACTGCCCAGTGAGACAGACTGATGTGAACACAACTAAAATGAAAATCAAACAGGTCAACATTAATGTCCAAATATCATTTGAAAAGGTAAAACTCAAAAACAAGAGGCCTAAGACTGCCTCTTTGTGTGTCTTGAACTTGAAAGCAGAATACAGGAAACTTAGATATTGTTGTGCCACTCTAGGAATCACAACAAGAGATGGGGCCATTTTTTTTTCTCAACACAGAAACATCAACTCATCCTAAGCCTATGAGGGCTTATAAGGGCTATTACAATTCTGAATACCTTAAATATCCTAAAACTATGGCGTGTAAGACTGGGTCTCATACAACCCAGACTTGCCTCAAACTACTGGTCTCGGGGGCTGAAGAGATGGCTCAGAGGTTAAGAACACTGGCTGTTCTTCCAGAGGTCCTGAGTTCAATTCCCAGCACCCATATGGTGGCTCACAACCATTTGTAATAAGATCTGGCTCCCTCTTCTGTCCTGCTCTGTCCTGCAGGGATACATGCAAACAGAACACTGTTTTAAAAAAAAAAAAAAAAAAAAACTACTGGTCTCTGACTCTCTACCACTCAAGTGCAGGGTCTACAGGTATAGACCAGTATGCCCGGCTCAAATAAATACATGGAAGTGCACATTATCCTCGGGGACTACCAAGTGAACCTGCTTCAACTGGTGTGTGTGTGTGTGTGTGTGTGTGTGTGTGTGTGTGTGTGTGTGTGTGTGTGTAAGGGGGGGGGTCTACCCAACTCACGGACACACCCCTCCTAAGACCTTGTGAACCTGCTTCGACTGGTGTGGGGGGGGGGGGTCTACCCAACTCACAGACACACCCTCCCTAAGACCTTGGCCTCAAAAGGAGGCCAGACAGGGCCTGTTTGGGGCCCTCCTTGAAGTAAAGGGGACATTTTCCAGTCAGAATTCACGTTCTCTTCCAACACCCCGCCCCCGGCCTAACACACCCAGTCCCAGGGCCATTTTGGGTCAACAAACGGTATTTCCCTTTCTGGAACCCTCTGCCAACACCACGTACAAACGGAGCCCTCAAGTTAACCTCGTCTCCCTCAGCCGCCGCGTGGAGAGGAAACAGGAAACACGCAGCGACGCGGCACTTCCACCCGCAGGAAAACCGCGGGAAGCCTGTGCGCAGGCGTGACAATCCGCGCAGGCGCGCTCCGGAGCATGACTGCGCAAGCGCAGAGGGCGACCCGTTGCATGAAGGCCTCGCGAGAGTTACGGGGCAGCTGGCGTTTCTCTGCCGGCAAAGTCAAAAGCGCAGCCCTTGGCGTTCTCGCTCGCTCGTGAGGTACGCAGCCGGCACAGGCATGGCTCTGCCTCTTTGGCTGTTCTGTCCACAGAGAGAAACATGTTCTGGTTATGGATGAGGCAGAGGGAGAGCCCCCAGCACAGCCGTGCTCTGCCCCAGCTGTGTCAGATAATCATGGCCTCTCTTTCCTTGCGCCTTGCCCGCTTCCCAGACGCTAGATATTTTCTAAGATGCTGCTGGCATCCTGGACCGTGCCTAGAAGAGAATGACTCCCAAGGCATCAAAACAAAGTGTGTCTTGGCATGGATCAGGCAAGGAATTTAGCCTTCAGGAGGCCGGTGGGAAGGAGACCGGATTTGAACTGACCCCCTCCAAAGCAAAGAACAGTTGTTGAGGAGAGCAGAAGAGCACGTGGACCACAGAGGGACTCTAGAAAGGAAGCAGCCAGTGGTATGACAACCTGAGCTCCGAGCTCCGAGCCTCCTGCCTGGAAAAACTGGGAGTTCTTGGCTGTGACTTTGGCAAACTTATCCTTTCTACGTCTACATTGCCTTCCTCAATAAAATAGCAATAACAATATTTACTTAGTTGCCTTAAAATATTACAAGATATTAATCTGTCCTGGGACATAGTAAGTGCTCAATAAAGGTTAAGTCTTGTTTCAAACAGTAGCTGCCATTTTTTGGGTACTTATCGTAGTATAGACCAGGAATTTAGTATAGATGTCTGAGCTCAAAGACCATGTCCTCTTACTGCCCTGTCTTCTGGTCACGTAGCATAGGTGAAGGGAAGAAGTGGGAAGGGCACCTATATGGTGGGATGGTTATTAGTAAAGGTCTACAACTACAAGATAATAAAAACATATTTGAAAGTCAGTAAATAAAAATGGTAGTAGATAGGAGATTGCTGAATTATAGCAGACCTTGGATGGCAGGGTAAGGAATAAACTTTGAGCATTTTTAATTTGGGAAAAGACTTCAATAAAATGTCTGAAAAAGTCCAGTGGTGGTGGCATAGGCCTTTAATCCCAGCACTCACAAGGCAGAGGCAGGCAGATCTTTGTAAGTTTGAGGCCAGCCTGGTCTATATAGTGAATTCCAGGACAGCCAGGGCTACACAGAGAAACCCTGCTCAAAAATTTTTTTAAAAAAATGGAAAAAAGAAAAGTATCCATCATGATTCCAGATAAAAGACTTAAAAACTTGAGTATAATAAGCTTCAAGGAAATGGATTTTGACTTGATATATGCTTACATAAACACAAGTACAATATGTATTAAAAATAATAGATTTCTCATTCTTAAAAGGGACAAGAGATCAGGTATGGCTCAGTGGTAGAGTGGTTGCCTAGAATGTATGAAACCCTGGACTGGATCCTCAGCACCAAAAAAAAAAAAAAAAACCTCTAGTGAGAGCTAAATCATCTAAGGGAGTCTCAGTTGGGAGATTGCTCAGATCAGTTTGGCCTGTGTCCATGTCTTCAAAAGATGATAGTTGATATTTGATATTGATACTTGATATGGGAGGTCCCACCCACTGTGAGTGATACCAGCTCTTCCTAGGTGATTGGATCTGGGTGACACACGAAAGCTAAAGCCAGGAGGTGGTGAGGCAGAGGCAGGCAGATCTCTGAGTTCGAGGCCTGCTCTGCAGAGTGAGTTCCAGGACATCAAGGACTGTTACATAGAGAAACTCTGTCTTGGGGGGCGGGGAGAGAGAGAGAGAGAGAAAAAGAAAGCTGAGCAGAGGCAGAGAGTGAGTCAGCACGACTTCTTCCAGGGGTTCTGCTTCAAGTTCCTGCTTAAGTTCCTGTCCTGACTTCCCAAAAGGATGGCTTGTGACCCAGAAGTCACTTTCTTCTCCTAATTGCTTTTGGCCAGAGTGAGTATTCCATCACAGCAACAGAAAGCAAACCAGAACATCTTCTGACATGGTTTCAGAACAGTCTCAGCTAAAATTTCCCTCCTACGAAATTTCTGACATTACTCTAATTGGCTAGCCATGCTATGAAGTCAAACTTTGCTGTCCCTTTGACTTATTTAAACTACATAATTTCATTAAGAAATTAGTAATCTCTCCAGGTGGCGGTGGTGCCTTTAATCCCAGCACTCAGGAGGCAGAGCCAGGTGAATCTCTGTGAGTTGGAGGCCAGCCTGGTCTACAGAACAAGATCCAAGACAGGCACCGAAACTACACAGAGAAACCCTGTCTCGAAAAAGAAAAAGAAATTAGTAATCTCAGCATTCAGGAGGCTGAGGCAGGAGGCTCACAAATTCAAGGCCAGTCTGAGCTACATGAGGAGTTTGAAGCCAGCCTAGACTATGTGGCAAGACTTGTCCAAAAAATAAAAAATCATAGTGCTGGAAGTAACATTTTTTTAATCAATAGATGATGACACCTAGTAATGATTTCACTCAATATACTATCAGTTCTCTGAGCTCTCAAAAAATAACTAATAAAAAGTAGGTTTTTGCCAGGTGCTTTGGGAGGCAGAGTTAGTGCTTTGGGAAACCGGGAGTTAAAACCCTCTTGGAAGTTAACTTGGTGTAAGAGAGTGGAAGCCTCTGTTGCTCCAGTTCTAAGCAAATGCTTTCGTTTTCTAATAAGGCTTTCTGCAGGAGACAAACCGTATGCAATAAACAAGGTAAGTATAAGAATTGCTGCCGTTCATTAATTGCCCAGGAAGTTACTCATTTGGACTCAACAGAAACTTTAGGAATGTGAAAGTACTTCAAAACGCTGACCTGTTAAAATGCCATAAAACAAGCCTCAAAGTTCGAGGCACTGGTGCCTGCTGTGAGTAAGCTACTGAAGCGGCATTTCCAGAGAGACTAGGGCAAAGGGCAGAACAAACCACGGGTCAGCAGGAAAGAAACAGCCCTGCAGAGTGGGAACGACTCACCGCAGTTCATTCAAGCCACAGGGGCGAGAGAATGTCCTCTCTTTACACTGGCCAGTTTTCATCATCAGGTGTTTAGTGTATGCTGAAGCAGAGAGAAAATCAGTGGCTACAGGGACTTTGCCTGAGATTACAGCAATCATTTTGATGTATAAGCAGATTGACCTGGCTTTATTAACAGCATTATCATCTCTTAAAAGAAGAACTGAGGCATTGGCTTATTAAATACTATGGAGCATTTTGTATTTCTCCGTATTTTGTATTTCATTGTGTGTTTTGTTTGTGGGTTTTGGGATTCTACACTGTATTGGCTGTCTATGTGAACTCTGAAAGAACAAAATTAGAAGTTCAGAGGAGTCCAAAAATAACAGAGGCACCCTGTTGTCTGTGGCAAACACTGGCCTTAATGAGAAACATGGCTCCCAGGCCTGGCTTTCTTTTATGGAAGTGTGGAAACTTAATGGGTGCTTAGTGTTTCTTTCCTTTGTCCTTGCAATGAGGATGTCAGCCCAACCCGTTACATTTTATAAAGTGGATTTCTGAATAGATTAAGCAAATGTCTGTGGGGAAACATTATAGATTAACATACCTACCCTGTGTGGTAATGATTACTTTATTGTGTCCAAACAACCTAGTATTGCTAATATATAATATTTCCTGTACTTTATTTAACATTCTTGGCTTTCTGAGTGATTGAGCACTCAGGGTTATTTCTCCAAAGCTATATAATCATCTTATAATCATCTGGATAAGTTTGCCTAATAAGACCTCCTATAGAACAACGCATTCTAGAAGACAGTCTTCGATGCTAGTAAATGAGACTGCATCTGTATAACTCAAATGATGTAATTAAAATATATGTGTGATATATGCATATATGTTATTTTTGTATATATTATGTTGCAAGATATTTTCAGGCATTAAAAAGACTTGAAAATTACTAACAGTTGCTTTTTGTTTGGTATTTAGACAAAATTTAAAAAAAAACAGAATTAGCAAAAAGCTCTTGAGAAAGAGTTAAAGATGTTTCAAAATCACTTTTCAAAAGTAATTTTTTTTTTTTTGTTTTTCGAGACAGGGTTTCTCTGTGTAGCTTTGGAGCCTTTCCTGGGACTCACTTGGTAGCCCAGGCTGGCCTCGAACTCACAGAGATCCGCCTGGCTCTGCCTCCCGAGTGCTGGGATTAAAGGCGTGCGCCACCACCGCCCGGCTCAAAAGTAATTTTTATTTTATTCATTATTTGTGTGTGTATATGACAGAGAGAGAGAGAGAGAGAGAGAGAGAGAGAGAGAGAGAGAGAGAGAGAGAGAGGAGACACACGCAGGTGGTCAGAGGACAACTCTTAGGAGCTGGTTCTCTCCCTAGGACAGAGCTCAGCGAGATTTTGCCTGCCCCACTCTTCTACCCAGTGTGCTGTGTCACCGACCCCATCACTAACTGGGTTTTTGTGTCTCTGATTGCAGAAAGGCATGCTGGGAGAAAGCATGCTGTTCGAGAGGAGGTCTGAGCACCTGTCCTTGACTGTTTATAAAGAGAGACTCAAGTGTTTTCAGATCATGAAAAGTTCCTTACTCACTCCAGAAATGTTTTAAAATGTCACTGGAAACACAAACACTGAATAAGCCACATTATTGTGTTTGGGAGGATTGGGATTTATGTGGTATTATTATTATTATAAATAATCATCCTGAACAGAAAACAGAATTTTTGTAGCAGGAGATGCTAATAACACAGTTGTGCTTAGATCTGCTGACCATCTGAGGGAGTTGGAAGTTAACAGCTGCATCTCTAGTTGATCTTTGCATATTTTAATCCAAACATGGTAAAGGGAGGGGCTACAGAAGGGAGTGTCCATGGAATAAACAGACTCAGAAGTTGTCACAGAAACAATTGTTAAATACTGGAGAGAACTCTGTACTTTGCACCTCTCACTTAGATCTACACTTGGAAACTTTTCTGAGGAGTTAAGCGTCCTTTGACCTCCTCTCTTGTGAATTGCAGAAATCAGACCAGACTACTTGGTAAAATGACCTCTTGTGTTGCTGAAGAACCTATTAAAAAGATTGCTATCTTTGGAGGGACTCACGGAAATGAGCTGACAGGAGTGTTTCTAGTTACTCACTGGCTAAAGAATGGTGCTGAAATTCAGAGAGAAGGGCTGGAAGTGAAACCATTCATTACCAACCCAAGAGCAGTGGAGAAGTGCACCAGATACATTGACTGTGACCTGAATCGGGTTTTTAACCTTGAAAACCTTAGGTAAGACTGTGTTCTATACTCTGTGAGAGCATGTATGTGTGAAAAGCGGTGGTCACTGGGAGAGAGAACATGTGAATACTTCTAGTCAGTGGTCAGATCCATACGTAGAGCGTCCTTACCGGGTGAGATCACTTTCACTTTTCATCATGCTGCATTGTGAATTATGCAACTGCCCAAAACTGGGCATTCACGTGCTCTGCTGTAAACTTTTTACAGCTCCAGGCTTTGCTGATTATTCTTTTATTTGCTGTATGTCATACAGTATATAACAAGTAGGAAAGATCTTTGTATTTGAAAGACACAAATATAATAATCCTCTGCATTAAATATGTGTTTGGGTAAGCTTAGATAATGTGTGAAAATAAAAATAAAAATCTAAATTATTCTCAAAAAATAAAAATAAATTAATGCTTGGTCATTATACTTGTAATGTATACTGTTTTGTGGGAAAATCACCACTGTGCTTTCTTATAGGATGTGTTTATGATAAAGTTCTAGCTGAGAAAATTATGACATTTTGATTGATGTTTGTTGAGTGAAAGAGTGAGCAAGTATCCACTGCCTGAGAGCATCAGGGCAGTCCGTGGCCCGAGGGACAAATGTGTGCCTCTCTAGTGGTGGGTTATCATTCTTGAGGTAAATGAGGACTGAAGACACTTCCTTTGACCTTTCTTTATTTGGGTTACAGCTGATTTAGATAGTTCCATGTAGCATGTGTGGTCACCATACTCAAGGTTGGTAATTACCAGTTGTTTTTGCCCTTGTCTATATCATAATATTTGTGATTGTATATGCCTCTAAGTGTTTTTCTTAGCATCATTTTTTTATTTAACCTAAAAATATTGTTAAGCATCTGCCAGGTGTTGTGGATGTACAAAGATGTGTACACAATGTTTTTTGCCTTCAGGTGGTTGGTAGACTGTTAGCTAAGGTGTAAGGCACCCAGAGGAGCACCTAACAGATTTATGTGCTTGCTCTCTTGTTTTAATGTGCTTGGTTATATGAGGCCATGTTCATGCAAGTATCTGAACTCCTTTTATTTTTTATTTTGAGATGAACCAGGTTGGCCCTGAGCTTACTCTGTAGCCTAGGCACGCCTGAACTTTTGACCCTCTTTCTTCACACTGCCAAGTAGTTGGGATTACAGGCCTGTGCCAGCAGGACTGGCCATGTACTTGTTTGCTGATAAATGCTAGGTTGAATTCCTGGGTCCAGTCTTACAACAGAACAGAAGAAATGTAAATAAAACAAAATTTGCCTTTACAAAATATTTGTTTTCCAAGGAAATTACACAGCAGTGATACTTTGTGCATCAAATAATTTTATTAGCATAATCTAAATTTCAGAAACACTTTTATATTCACATTTGAGGTTATATCAGGACAATTAGTGTTTATTCACCTAAAATAGCTATTAACTATCTCATATATTACAAGCAAGATTTGTTGAAGAATGAATCTTTTAACCTGTGTATTAACTTTCCAGGTAGCTCTGAAGTGAACTGGGGCAAGTTTTCTTACTAGGAATAGCCAATATTAACCTCTCAGTGACTGTGGCACTTTAAATTGGGTTCACATTCTGTTTCTTAGTCTTAACAGTCTTCAGAGACTAGACAGCTCTGTCTCACGGTGGTTGTGAAAATCACGAGATAAATGAACCAATGAACCTCTCCTATGTGCTGTCTTCTAAGTTGCTGCCTTTTCCACATTCCTCATTTCAACGGTGGCACCATCACCCACAAGTCCCTTACAGAGGCAACATTAGAGCCATCTCTGCTCTCCAGCCCCCTTGTCTGGTGTGGTAAGTCCTCCCACATACGCTTTACAAGAACTCCACAGAGCAGCCAGGCCTTGCATTCACAGGTCTGTAATCTCCGCTGCCCGGGGAAGCCTGGGCAACTTATCAAGATCCTGCCTTAAAATAGATTATTCAAAAAGTGGACTGAGGTTGCATCTCAGATGGGAGAATACTTGCCTAGCTTGGATAAGGCCCTGGGTTCTCCCTAATGCTGTAAAAATAAAAAATATAAAGACACTCCACGAAGCAAGCCTTCCTCTGTGGACAGATAGTATAGCCTCTTACAGGGTCTGAATGCATCCAGATTAACCCAGGCTTGTACCCATACGTTCGTCATATGAGGTCCACAAGCCTGGCCCTAGTGTAGAAATCTTCTGCCTTTCCCCTGCTGGAAGTTCTCTTTAAATCTCCTGTCTAGAATAGATCTAAGCAACCTGCTGTGATAACACAGTCATTATAGCAATGTGGCTGCTAGTGCCACCCAAGGTCTGCCCCTGTCTATTCTTGCAGACTGGTCCCATGGGACTCTTCTAATGGTAACTGAACTCCAGGCATGAGAATTCAGAGTGTCCACTGTCTTTCAAAACTTAAAGCCTTGACTCTGAGCATCGGAGTGGGTAATGGTGCCATTTACACAAATGGAAATAAATAGGTTCTGGAATGACCTCATGAGAGAATATGAATTCATCACGAGTTAACTTTGTAAATGCCCGTGGGATATGCGTGTGCGTGTGTGCGTGGGTGCGTGCATGTGTGTGTGTGTGGTATCACATTAGGAACTGTATTTGATTGCAAATAGAAACTCATGAATAGTAATCTAAACTTAAGAGTTTCTTATTCATAAACATTATGTCCAAATGTGGGTGGCCCAGGTGCAGCAGCTCCCTAATGTCACCAATGCCTTTGGCTTGTCTATCTTCCCATTGTACTTTTCCTCACATGCACTTTTTTCTTCCTTATGGTTTTTGCTCCATCATCACAAAAGGGCTGATACACCTTCCTGGTTGCAGATGTGATTTCCAAGCAGGAAAGACTCTGATACAAATTATTTAAAAATAGCCAGGTAATAGAAATATATGGAACTATGTAAGAAATATATGTTTGAGAAGCTTCATAGAGAAGTAAAAGTTTAAACCATTAACATGTATAGAACGCCCTCCTAGTTCTATTCCATGGCCAAACTGAGAGGCTGGGTGAAGTACAGCGACACAGGCTGGAGAGGAGGAGAAACAAGTGAAATAAAAAAAAAACAATAATTAAAATAATAAAAACCTTTGTGAATTCTTGCATCTATAAAATTGTAAATTTTGTTCAGACAGCCACAGGCCTGTAATTCTAGCTACTTGGGAGGCTGAGGCAGGAGGCAACCCCCATCCTTGGCTACAGAATAAATTCAAAGCTAGCCTGAGAAAATGAGCAAGACTGTCGCAAAATTAAAAAGAACAAGGAGGGGGTTCTGGGACTGGAGTTCAGTGACAGAGCTCTTGCCTAGCTAGATGAGGTCTAAAATTCAATCTTCAGCACTGTAAAAAAATAATGGTGTAACAATTGCAAGTGGTAAGGAGAGGGTGGAGAGAGACCCATCTGAGAATAGAGTGATCGCTTATTAACCTTTGTTCCAGAAAAATACATGTAAGTATGTCTGTGTAAGTTTTGTACTTTGAGAGGGTTTGTGGATTGTCATCTGTAAACCATGTCCCTAAATCATTCCCAGTCTTCAGTTTAAAATACCCAATAAAGACATAAGCACCTGAGTTTGACTACTTCTTTGCACTAGAACCACAGTGGTGGGCGTAATGGTCTTGCCCTGTAATAAATAAGCAGTGCACCTTAACTCCAAGGAAGTGCTTAGCAAATTAAATGATATATTTTTTTCAAGGTTGAAGTCACATGGTAAATTCTATTTGTGAAGCCCTACCTAAGACCAACCATAAGGAAACCTAACATTTTTATAAGCACACCAACGCAGCACTGGATATATGGGATCAGCTGGGGGAAAGGAGCACTTTTTCATTTGCAGAGGTTTCAGATATGATTTCATGTCCTGCATGGATTTTTAATATGTAAGGTTTACAGCTGGTTCTTTGTGTACTGTTCCTATTGTGTATTTATGTTATCGTATTGTAGTGTATAATGTTATCTAGATGACATTAATCTTTTTCTTTCTGCTAAAACAGCAAGGAGATGTCTGAGGATTTGCCATATGAAGTGAGAAGGGCTCAAGAAATATATCACTTGTTTGGTCCAAAAAATAGTGACAATTCCTACGATGTTGTTTTTGACCTTCACAACACTACTTCTAACATGGGTTGCACTCTTATTCTTGAAGATTCCAGGAATGACTTTTTAATCCAGATGTTTCACTATATTAAGGTAATCTCGATGTTATTGATGGGCGTTAGCTTGGGATTCTTTCTTTTGAAGTCCCTGAAAGATGTCAGGAAGGCGGGGCCAAGAGAAGTGGATTGTATTCCACAGTCAAACAGGAGGCTTGGTGAAGTGCTGTACCAAGGTACGGGGCAGTGGTGACAGAGAAGAGAAAGTGCAGTCAAACAATAAACACAATAGCAAAATAATAAAACATCTGCGAATACTTAAATTTACAAAGTTATCAATTTTATTCAGATGGCCACCAAACGTGGTATTTGGTAAAACCAAATAAAATTAGTACCAAAATTTTAAACAGTGCAGTTTAATGAAGTTTAAATGAAGCATCTCAATTACACAGCTTTAGGAAACTCAAGAAATCAATGTCGACTGAAGTCTAAGGTTAAAGAGACTTGGCTTCGTAGCATCTTGCCCTTGGCCCCATCCAGTATCTATGCATTGAAACACTTGTGCTCTTCAGGGCATGTTTCATGAGTCCATCAAGACTTCAACCCAGGCAGCTGGGTGCATCCTTGCACTCAGTGGAGATGCAGATGAATGCTGAGCGTGATGACTTATACTCAGCTACAAAATGAGGCTCAGAAATCTGCAGAATGAAAAATCCCACCATCCAATGTCTACAACTAGAGAAAAATTTGCTAGAATAACAGCAATATCACAAATATTGAATTATGTGTTTATTTCTATGTAATAAATATTCTTCCTTCCTTGAGAGCTGAGGTGACTTAATAGAAAGACTTTGACATGAGTATCCAGGAGAACCTGAGTTCAAATCCTGACTTTCTTATTCATTAACCTTAGATAAGACACTCATCTCCTAAAATCTTGCTTCCCTTATTTTCTAAAATGAGCGTAGTAACACTTAACCCCATGTAAATGCTAAAAGTCTTCAATGAGATAGGATAGTTAAAGCATTTAGCTTAAGATGTAGCCTGTAGCCCCTTCCCATGGCTGGCAGCATGGAGGCCACAACATGCCTGGAGTTACTGTAAAAGGTAATAACCAGCAGGAATTCGTCAGAGCTCTGGCAGCCTTCCTCAAGAAGTCCGTGAAGCTGAGAGTCCCTAGAAGGAGGAACACAGTCAAACTGGCCAAAAAAAATCGTTTGCCCCCTTTGAGGAGAACTGGTTCTACACATGAGCTGCTTCCACAGCATGGCACCTGTACCTCCACAGTGGGATGGGGTCGGCTCCATGGCCAAGATCTATGAAGGACAGCAGAGAAATGGTGTCAGGCCCAGACACTTCACCAGAGGCTCCAAAAGTGTGGCCCACTGGTTCCTCCAAACACTAAAGGGGTCGAATATGGTGGAAAGGGACCAAGATGGAGGCCCACATCTCAGAGACAGAGAGATCTGGATAGGATCGTTGCACAGGTGGCTGCTGCCAACAAGAAGCATTAGAAGAAAGAATGCTGGGTTAATAAATTGCCTCATTCATTTTATACTCTATAGTCAAGATTAGATATTTCTTTCTTTTCTCTTCAGTTTTAACAGTATCTACTAGTACTTCTGGGGTCGAGATGGGGGTGGGATGAGAGAGATCACAATGTAGCCATCTTTTTTGCTCATTGAAGAGAAAGTTGAATGCTTTAGTTACCATATGTGGAACCACATGGCTAATAATTAGGTATGAAAACCTAGAGGCTAGTCCAGGTGTGGTGGCACAAACTTTTAATCCCAGAATTCAAGAGGCAGAGGCAGGAGAATCTCTGTGAGTATGAGATAAGCTCAATCTACATAGTAAGTTCCTGGCCAGCCACGGCTACATAGGGAAACTCTGTCTCAAATTGAGACCTGGCTCAAATTCTCATCAAAATAAGCAGAAGTTGTGGGGGGAGTTACTCAATATCTGTAGAGATCTGGACCATAGGAAGTTATGCAATTTAAGGCCAATACTCAGCTAAACAGTAAGTGTAAACAAAGCTGTAAGCAGAATGTGTTCAGAAGGAATATTTATTACCTATTTTTGGCTTGCATCCTGGAGTATTGTTTTATGTACATTTTGCCCAGAAAGCTAATATAGTTTGATTTTATGTGTAATTCATTTTATGTTTTCAAAGCTAAAACATTGGGTTTTAAAGAATGTTTCATAAGGCTGCCTGGCTAATTTTAATTATGATGTAAGGCATATTGAAGGGACTATTGACTGTGACAGTCAAGAGAACCAAAGATACTTTGCATACTAAGACAGATGTTTTCAATTCTGTTCAGACTTCCTTGGCTCCAGTACCCTGCTATGTTTATCTTATTGAGCATCCTTCCCTCAAATATGCAACCACTCGTTCCATTGCCAAGTACCCTGTTGGTAAGTCAGACTTCCTACTGGCACAGGTAAAGAAAATATGGCCTAACTGAAACATAAAGAACATAATCTGATACCTCACATATCACTAATCTTATACTGATCAGGTGAGCTGATTAACTATAGGCGACATCATGCCTAATTTCCTGAGTTTCTCTGAGCATATCTCTGGATTTATTCATATTATTTTATTTGCTGTAACATTCAGACTTTCAGATTAGTCTGACATTCTCCACATTCCCAAAACTCAAGTGGAATAGAACCTTCTCTGACCCCACCAAATTGTATTGCAAGGATGTGTATATTCCGTAGGTATTTGTGTGTCTTTTGGAGATCAGTACTGTGCTAGGTCCTGAGGATGCAGCAGTAAACAAGACACAGTCTTACCTCAAGGAGCTCAGAGTCTAATGAGAAGATGGGACTGTAATCAGATAATTACTCCATAGTGGTAAACTGCTGTGGTAGGGGTAACTCTATTCTGTTTCCTGGGAGACCTATTAGTATAATTAATTATCTACAAACTACACTGTAAATAAAACTGTTACTACAACTGGAATCTATTTTGTTAGATCTCAGATGTTTTAAACAAGAGTAATTTGAGAGACTTGACAAATTATAGAAGCAAATAATTTTTTTTAAAAATAGCTCTGATTATTCAAATAGTTGGGGGTGTTGCATGGTTAAAGTAATTTATCATTATTATTATTATTATTATTATTATTATTATTATTAAAGAACTGTATCCATATATGTGAACATAATATAGGCTAAATAGCCAATATCATTACACAGTTGAAATAAACCAAATCTTTGGCCAGAGGTTATAACTCAGTGATAGAGTCCTTGACTAATATTCTAATACTTCAAAATAGACTGACAGGCAGAAAGACCAACAAAAATAAAAGCAAACCAGAGCCTAAATGATACAGGATGAGGCTTGAGTGTAGCTAGTAGAAAAGTGCTTGTATGGCATGCATGAGGACTTTCATTCAACCTCCAGCTCTGCAATAATAATAATAACAACGCAGGATTGACAGCAGGGTTCTATCCGACACTGAATGAAAGGATGAGACTTCTGCGGTCTGACAGATCAGTCTTGGTCTATGGTATTTATGGTTGGTACTTTTTTCCTAGTTAGAACCAATGTCTACTGATATGTGGATCCCTTGCAAATAGAGCTAAATTTTAAAACATTTTAACCTGAGGAAATACAAGTACATTATAAATTATAAATGCTAGTGTGTTCTCCTTCTGATTTCAAAACTTTCTTTGGAGTTTATTTATTAAATAATGAATAAAAACACTGAAAATCAATAGGAAAAAAACCTTTTGGTTCAACATTTTATAGTCACAAAGACTGTCCATGCAAACTTACTTTAGCTGCTACTAACAGTATAAGGACCATTCCATTACCTCAAGCCTAAAAGGATCATTCCAGGAAAACTTAACCCCAAAAGGTGGGTTGTAATTTGCTACAGCCAGCCTCATGATCAAACCCAAGCATGCATTCACACTCCCCACCCTCAACACTGGTGAGTAACTAGACCCAGTCTTCTTAGATCCTAGACATAATCTCATTTCAAACTCAGCACTTTTTATGACATTGTTTCTTCCTTTCCATCCCGATGTGTCATGGTCATATCCTATGGGTTTGAAAATTCTGCACTGATAAGAGATCTTGTCTCAAAGTTAATTTTTGGTTTGAAAAATATTCTCAACTTGGGAAAACAAATTTCAACAACTGGTTCTTCTGCATGAATTGTCCACCCCTACTACTCTGTAGCCCTTGCTGTCCACGTAGATCTACTATGCCACATCTTCCATCTCCCCCACAACATCATGAGGGACCACAATCTTGAATGTGTCTTTATTGTAGTCACAAGATATCCACTGTAGTTCTAAACATCATATAACAACAGTTCACTAAATAAAGAGGCTCTCAGGTATCCCCTACTTTACTTTGGGCCTTCAGTCACTAGAGTTCTGGGATTGCTATAAGTGGCTTAAGCTACTCAACACTTACTCTTGAGCTGAAAACAAAGTACTTTTACCTTGAACTATGGATACTCAACCAAAATTCTGATTCTGTTAGAATGAAGAAAGATAACTTTGAGGAGGACAAATAGCCTCTCCTACAATACACAGACATATCCAGAAGCATATTTTTGCAGAGTTGTATAAATTATTTATGCATAGACAAATACCTTACCAAGACCTATGATACCTCACATGTAAAGAAAGGTCTATTTGTATATATAAGAAAATTAAACACAGTGAAAGTTTTACATGAAAATTATAAAATATAGTAAGTTTTAATAGACTAGGAAATAGTACAAACGGGTGAAAATAAGATGAGACAGGCAGCCGGGCGGTGGTGGCTCATGCCTTTAATCCCAGCACTCGGGAGGCAGAGCCAGGCGGATCTCTGTGAGTTCGAGGCCAGCCTGGGCTACCAAGTGAGTTCCAGGAAAGGCTCCAAAGCTACACAGAGAAACCCTGTCTCGAAAAACAAAAAAAAAAAAAAAAAAAAAGATGAGACAGGCACAGTTTTAATGGGGATAGAAGAAATGAATATAATTTTATAGAAAATTAAAAAATCACACCATCTAATCAGTATGATACAGTTAGATGTTGTTATAATAAAGGCAAGAATGTTTCTCGAAAACTATGTGAACTAAACCCAAAGCTTAGTTAGATTTCTGACTACACAGACGTATTTCTTCCTGCTAAGGTGACTATGAAGTCTATGACAGTTTCTCTTTGTGGTCACCTATTACTTGTCAGCCTCACTTGGTCTACATCTTTTACTAAGCAGTAAGTTTTTAATGTTTTGGCAGTACTGAAGGACACATAAAAGAAAAAGGTAACCCTGAGTTCCTACTTCAGCACAGCTCTGTGGGTTTCCATGTTCTATATTTACTCTGGCTTTATCTCTATTATATTTCCATGTTCTCTATTTACTCTGGCTATAGCTCTAATATATATAAAATATTATATATTTTCCATGATGTTAAGCAGTCATAACACTGGGATTCTAGATCTTTATATTTTAAATGTTTGATCTTTCAATGTATTCCACTACTGACATAAAAGTGATTGTGTCTCCATCTGTACGTAGGTATAGAAGTTGGTCCTCAGCCTCAGGGTGTTCTGAGAGCTGATATTTTGGACCAAATGAGAAGAATGATTAAACATGCTCTTGATTTTATACACCATTTCAATAAAGGTGAGTGGTGGGTGGCAGCTATTTCCTTCTGTTTACGTATGTGGCTTAACCATGAGGGGGTGTCTCTGTATAAAACTTAACCACTAAACAGTGAAATGTGAAGAGAATCTAGGTCATATTTGTCACATTTATGATCTTAGCTCTCTTACTCTCTCATGTGTGTCTGTCTGTCTGTCTCTGTCTCTGTGTGTATTTTGCCTCCCCCCACCCAATGTCTCACTATATAGGCTGGCCCTGAACTCTCAGTCTTCCAAGGGTTACCATTACAGATGTGTGCCGTAGACAGTGCCTAGATGCTTTGTGAAGACTGTCTTTTCAATTCAACAGTTCCTCAGGGGATGACCAATAGAAACATTCCAGAAAAGCAGCTGTCAAAATAAAGCTCCCAAATCAAGTCATTTTCCTTTTCACATCAATTTCCATTTTAAACAGCAAAGACAGATGAGGCCCACCCTACTTTGAGGATCTAGAAGACTAATGGATACCGGGGAGGGAGAGACGTTTTCTTCAATGGGGTAGCCACTAGTATGTTGTCCATGCTCCTGTAAGCAACCCTAAGGAAACTCACTGGGTTAAAAGTAGAAAGGGCTGGTTAAGGGCACAGGGGTAAGAGAGAGTAATGGAGGGTCAATACGATCAAAATATATCACATACACATTTGAAAATAAAATTGTGTATGGCTAGTATATGCTGGCTAAGAACATAGAAAAGACTAGAAAGTTCACAAGTCCAATAAACATAAGATGTTCAGGATCATGAGTAATCAAAGAAGTACAAATTCAAGTGACAAAATGTCTTCACTCATTAAATTAAGAATATATTCAAATCTGATGATATTTCTGATATTAAGTTTTGGCAAGGCATAGGAAAAGAAAATATTCTCATTGCTTTCTAGTGAATATGTAAGTTGGTAAAGACTCTTTAGGGTATAATTTTATACTATTTACTTCTTTTTTATTTTTGCTTATCTATTGTTTGTATGGGAGAGAGAGTATGGCCTGTGTTTATGGTATATGAGCACATGTGTGTGAGTGTGTGTGCTGGGCCATGTGAGGACTTGGAGTGTCCTGTTCTACTCTCTGCCTCTGTCACTAGGACAGGATATCTCCCTGACCCTGGAGCTAGGCTGGCAGCCACAAACTGAGCAATCTTTCTGATTCCTTCCTTTCAGTGTTTTGGGTTACAGGCACACATGGTCACACTTGGGTGCTTTTTACCTGGGTGCTAGTGTCCACATTCAAGTCCTCGTGCTTGCCCAGCAAGCGTCTTACTGAGCCTTCTCTGCATCCTCAGTAGATCCTTCTTAAAATGCACAAACCACATGACCCAGCAACTCTGTGTCTCAAAGAAGCACAACTGCATGCACATCCAGTGTGTTACGTAAGGGCTGGCTACTGAAGCTTTGTCTCCAACAAAAAAAAAAAAATGAAAATGACCCAAATGTTCAATGTCTGTGAAGAATTAAATAAACTGAAATTGGACAAGTCTTCAAAAGTGTTAATTTTTAAAAATCAAGCTGTTAATTTTTTAAAAAGCAAGATAGCTCAGTGAGTCCCATCACTTGATCTGCAAGCATGAGGACCTGAGCTTGAATATTTAGCACCTGCATAAAAAGCCAGATGCAGTTGACCATTCCTGCAACCCCAGCATTGTGGGGCAAAGACCAGTGAATCCTGAATTCTCACTGACCAGCCAGCCTAGAGCAAATACCAAGCTTCCTGTTCTGTGAGAGAACCTGTCTCAAAGTCAAAGCAATAAGGTGGAACATGACAAAGGACAACACTCAACACCCTGCTATGACTTTCACATGCATGCACATGGGTGCACACAACCACACACTCACATGCAGCACACACACACACACACACACACACACACACACACACACACACACACATTGCAAACCAAAGCATACAATAAACAAATTGACTTTGAGATAATAATAGTAAGCTAAGTGTGATGGTGCATGTCTGTAATCTAAGTTCTGGGAAAGCTGAAGTAGGAGATAAATGAGTTCAAGGTTCAAGACCAACCTGGGCTACACAATGAAGCCCTGTCTTTACAATAATTAATTTATTATCACTTGCCCGAAAGAGGTGTGTGTGTGTGTGTGTGTGTGTGTGTGTGTGTGTGTGTGTGTAAGTATGTGTGTGCATATGTATAGGAAAAGCTCTAGAAAAAGGCACACTAAGCTGTAACAGTGACTACTGAGAAGAGGGCTAAGCGAGGCTAACATTTAGTTATATTCAGCAAGAATGATGTGTTTATGTATTATGTCTATAATTAACAACTGGATGGTGACTGGTGGAGAGGTGAGTGAGCGGATCTTCTGTACATCTGCTCACTTATTCAATAAATCTAAAAATATTCTAAGAAGTACAACAACTATATGACAGTTTACTTTAAAATTTAAGAAAACTTTAAAAGTACCAGAGACATCCTATGTAAATAATAATTCCAGTAGGTTGCATGGAGGAATTGGTAGTTCTGGTGATGTAACTGATGAGCAGCTCAGGGCCTGTGGTAGGTATTGTCCCTTAGCCTCAGAGGAGCATCTCCTGTACTTGGGAGTCCTTTGACCTTCAGAAGGTCATAGAACTGAAAGTCAGTTCTTACTGCCCTTGTCCGAGGACAGATCTACGTGGTCTGGTGTAACTGGTGTTGGGAGGGTCAGAACATACATACAACAGGCCCTCACATACCAAGTGTGGAACGAACCACAGTGTATTAAGAAATGATGCAACCAGGTGAAAGGCACAAACCTGATCAAGCTGCAGCCTATCAAATGTCAGACACGAGAGTGGGGCTATCCCAGACCATCCAGCAGCCAGAGGACCTGCCAGCTCACCTTGCATGTGTCAGCAAGACAATCAGAAAACAATCAAAGCCTGTCTAAACCAGAGGAGCTGCCCACCAACCCACAGAATCACAAGCTCAGTGCTTTAAGCTGCTAAGTTCTGGGCTAGCATGTTACACAGCAAAAGCCAGCTAGAAGTGACGACACATCTCCCCAGTCCAATTCCACTCCAAGGGAAGGAAGGCTTCCCTCTAGGCTTCAGTCACAGCACACTCTAGGCCCTCTGTTGGACACAGGTTCCAATGTTTGCTCAGAGCTTGTGACATGGTTCTGTGAACTACTCATGCTAATATTTCTTGGCACTGGGTTGTTCAATTTTGCACCATCTTGAGGGGGCCGCACTCCACTGTTGGACAGACTCCCTGTATCCCAAGAGCTCCCTTGTCAGATGTGGGTTGTCCTTGGTTAAGGCAAACACCCATCATGCTGAAGCCACTGGCCTGCTGGATGTCTTTGTGAAGGCACGCGGTCATGCAATGTCAGAAGGGAGGACTCTGCCGTAAGCTCATCCAGACTTTCATCTGACAGGTAAGGAACACGAGCCTGCAGCAGGCCAGCATGTTGCTCAAGGACACGCAGCCAGGAAAACCAGGAGAAGAGAACCCAGAGGCTCTCTTGGTCATGGTCCTAGCAAACCCTAAAATGTGTGCCTTCTGTTCCTACCTGTCTCACGCCTCTGTGGGGAGTGTACTGACATGAATAACTCCAGAGAGGGTTTGGCTTCTTGGCGTCTACGAGCCTCCATAACGGCCCGTTCACCTGGCAGCATTCTTGACTTTCCGTTGTTCGTCCTCCTTCCCTAAAGTGTCAGCTCCCCTTTTTCTAGGACATTTTTTCCTGGCTGTGATTAACACACCCCACTTCTTACCGTAGGAAAAGAATTTCCTCCCTGTGCTATTGAAGTCTATAAAATAATGGAGAAAGTTGATTACCCAAGGAATGACAGCGGAGAAGTGGCTGCCGTTATCCATCCCAATCTGCAGGTAACATTTGTTTCTTGGAAATACTGAAAATTATAGTATTCTACTTTGAGGTATAATTTTACCATTCATACAGCATTTTGTACACATTAGCTAATTTATTAGTATTTAAAGTATCACATCAGTCAGTTTTCCATCACTATAATGAAATAACCAACACACACACACACACACACACAAAAAAAAAAATCTAATAAAGAGAAAAAAGTGTTATTCTGCTCACCATTCTGGAGGCTCCAGAGTGGCTGCAGTACATTGGGGCTGCAACAAGAGCACATGGTAAAGCAAACTATGCAGGCAAGGATGTGAAGTGTTTGCAGGACAGGACCACGGCCCCTCCAGAATCCTCAGTGACCTAAGGGCTTCTCTCAAGGAACCGCTTCCTAAAGATCCACATCTCTTCCTGATAGGACTACTCTAGGCACCAAGCCTTTAATGCCTGGACCACTGGGAGACGCCACCCATCCCAAACTATAGCAGGGAGGGACCCAGACCTTCTCTGGGTATTTACCATATATGTGTGCTGGCTCTAGGGGTACATCTGTGAGTGTGGCCTATAGTCACATGTGATTGATAGTCTGGAAACACTAGAAATGATGATAACCAGATACTATAACCTCATACTAAGGGGAGAGAGGTATCCAAACAAGACTTCTAGAATAGAAAATGCCTATTCATGCGCAAATGGGTGAGGAAAATTATATACATTTTATTTAGGTTTTAATTTTGTTTTGTTTTGTTTTGTTTTGTTTGAGGTGGGGATCGAGACAGGGTTTCTCTGTGTAGCTTTGGAGCCTGTCCTGGAACTCACTCTGTACCCCAGGCTGGCCTCGAACTCACAGAGATCATCCTACCTCTGCCTCCCAAGTGCCGCCCCCACCACCGCCACCACCCGGCTTGTTTTGTTATTTTTTGAGACAAAGTTTCCCATTGTTGCCCAGGCTGGCTCAAAGTTGTGATTCTCCTATCTTGGCCTCCCATAGTTTAGATTACACTAGTGTGCCACCACACCTTAATCTAGCTTTTAATTTCTGAGCCCTTATATTCTTACATTAGAATAGACATTGAGCACAACATTGTGGTTCATGCTGTTAATTCCAACACTTCCAACACTTGGGAAGCTGAGGCAGCAAGATTACAGATTTAAGGCCACCCTGGGCTACGGTGGGAAACCTTGTCTCCAAAAGAGGGGAGATGGGAGGGTAGGATGAAGGGGTGTCATAAAGGGAAAGGAAACATCGGAACTGTCCTATGGAGACACAGCTAGGAGTGACAGATCTCCAACCAGTGTTCTCTGTAGCTGGCCACACAGTTGACACCTCCCTCAACTTGTTCTTTCTAGGGACATTCCTGACATGGTCCCATGACTCTCCTCAGAATCCCAGTATCACACCTTGCCTGGTTCAATCAATAATGGCAGAGTGAAGGAGCTCCCGGGGGCGTTAGGATGCTGAAGTCTAGAAAGGTCAAAAGAAAAGGAAAGATCCCAAATAGCTACAAAACCCACTCCAGGGAAGACCTTGGAGCCCAGAGGTGAAAGACAGCAGGAAGGCTTTTCAACCATGAAGACACATTACCTAAATAGCTTTCTCTGTTTAAAAAAAAAAATAGATTCTTTTATCATATAATACATCCCGACCACAATTTCCCCTCCGTTCATTTCTCCCAAACCCCCCCCCACACACACACACACACACCACCCCTCTCCCCCAGAAGTTTCCCTTCAGAAAAGAGAACTTTCTAAAAACTAACAGTGCCAAGAATCTCAGCTAATCTGACATTATTGGCTTGAGTATCTGTGGTTGAAAACCACTGATCCAATTCAAATCCCTACTTAATGATTCTAATAGCCATCAGGCAACCTCATAAAGCATCCTGCCCACAGATTCAGACCAGTAGAGCACATCCTGCCTGTAGCTTCGTGGAAGCTGAGTGGAAACCAGAAGGAGCCATGAGCTATGGTTTTAAAAGACCGTGTGTGGTAGAGAGGGAGAAAACAAGCTCAGGGAAGATGTGCCACAGCAACCTCTAACACAGGTCTGTTCAAGTGTCTCCTCCTCAGTGATGTCCTTCAAAGATACAGAAGTCATCCTGGGGTGGCTGAGAAGGCAGAATGAGGGCAGTAACCAACGGGATTAGTGCTGGGTCCCAAAAATCAGAAAAGATCGCTAGAAATGTTAGACCACAAGGCATGGCTCGAGCCAGGTCTGGTGGCACAAGCCTGTAATCCCAGCTACTTGGGGAGGCTAAGGCAGGAGGAGGATCAGTTAAAGGCCTTCCTTGGCCACAGAGTGAGTTCAAGGCCAGCCTGAGCAAACTAATAAGACCCTGTCTCCAAGTAAAAGATAGAAAGGCTTGGAATATATATAGCCCAGTGGTAGAGCTCACATGTGCAGTACTCTAAGTCAGTTCTCAATACTACACACACACACACACACACACACACACACACACACACACACACACACACACGTGCATGCTCAGTTTTCTATAAGAGAGATTGGTAGGGTGTTATCTCAGTAAATATGTTTGAATATCTACTAAGCCTGTTCTCCCTGAGATGGAAGATTCTAGTTTTGTGTTTCTGAGATGAAGCCAGCTCCTCTCACTGGTCCAAGAGTATGTTATCCTCTCAAGTGATTCTGAAGTGCAGCTAGGGCTGAGAAAATGTACTGTGGGCAGCTCTACCCAATTTCAGTCAATTTACTCACATGAAGATTTTTATTCAGTGGATCTCAGCAGGGGGTGAAAATCTACTTTTCTAACAGACTCCCAGATGCCGATGATGCTGGGAAAGGTTAGGAATGCAGAGGCCCAGGCTCTGTCCTGGCCTAGGGAATCAGCCACCTCCCCAGGTGCTTGGCAAGCACAGCAAAGGTGGAGATGTTCTAGGACTCCTGTGGTCTGAAGCATTAGTGTTAGAAGGCTCACATATGTCTCAGTGCAATCCTCTTGTATCTCTTTTTAGTAGAATGTCTTTTTTTTTTTTTTTTTTTTTTTTTTGGTTTTTCGAGACAGGGTTTCTCTGTGTAGCTTTGCACCCCTGGAACTCGCTTTGGAGACCAGGCTGGCCTCGAACTCACAGAGATCCGCCTGGCTCTGCCTCCCGAGTGCTGGGATTAAAGGCGTGCGCCACCACCGCCCGGCTAAATGTCTTTTTTAATAGACAATGTTAGTCTATTAAAAACAGGAGAAAAAAGCTAAATGTAATTTATGTATTTTGATGTCTCCTGAGAGGATCAAGACTGGAAACCATTACACCCTGGAGATCCCGTGTTTGTGACTCTTGATGGAAAGATTATTACGCTGGGTGGTGACTGTACCGTGTACCCGGTGTTTGTGAATGAAGCTGCATATTATGAAAAAAAAGAAGCATTCGCAAAGACAACTAAACTAACACTCAGCGCAAAAAGCATCCGCTCCACTTTGCACTAAAAGTCACTGCAAGCTCACAGTTCTAGGGAGTCTTGCAAACCTCGAGAACTCTGTGAGCGCTCCAAGAGCAGAGCTGTGCCTTATTCTCATTCTTTTCCTCAGCACTTGCCCCCATGCCTCACACAGTAAGCATCCAGGCCGGTTTCTGAAAGGAAAGAATAAATTAATAAACGTCTTTCAAATATATTTTGAATGAGCTACTTATAGCTCATTCAGGCCGGTGTGTTTCTGGTTTCTGTGTTACATTACATTCTAGTAACAACATAGTTAACAACCTTCACATTCAAAACATAACATTGAAATCAATGCTACATGCAACTCAGCATGTAGCGAGACAGTGAGAATAGACTGAATGTGTGCTTTTAAGTAATGCATAGCGCTACTAAAAACTAATAGTACAAACTTGGTATTTTTAAGTTTTGACATCTGAATTAATGACAGTGTATTAAATGTCCATTCTGTAAACTCTAGCAATGACTGATGTCTGTAGGCAATTTCACATCTTTCTGCAGATGAGATGTGACAGGAAGTGAAAGCTGGGTGTAAAGGTGATGCATGAATACATCGAGAAACACTCCCCTCAAGGACCTAATCGTTGTCTTTGATGTGAAAAGTTTGAAAAAGATACACGTTTGCAGCTGCAGCTGTCATTCTGAAAGAATACAGTCACCCAGATTCATAATCAGCAGGGTATAAGTGTCTGGTCTTTGGTCTCCAGAAGCCACCACCAGAAACGGTGAAGGTGGGTAACAGAAGACAGTGGGCACTTATGGAAATGTGGCCCAATCTTGTGACTCTGGATCACAAATACATGTTTTCAAGAAGTTCCTCCATGTCTCAAGTGACAAAAATCCCTTCCCTCTCATGAGCCTCTTTATTTTTTTTTCCAGAGCTGAGGATCGAACCCAGGGCCTTGCCCTTGCTAGGCAAGCACTCTACCACTGAGTTAAATCCCCAACCCCAAGCCTCTTTAAAAGATCCCCGCCGAGCTGCCTGCCTCCTTTTGCTCCCTACGTGACCCTCGCCTCCTTTCATTCCTCTCTGAAGCCAAAGCAATCATGTAAGAAGCATTTTTATCCCATGATTTGGAACCCACATTTATGGATGCAATATACTTATCAAAAAATACTAACGCTGATGCTGGAGAGATGGCTTAGTTGGTAAAGTGCTCACCAGGCAAGTGTGAGGACCTGAGTTCAATTCCTAGCACCCAGACAAGAAGCCTGGCACAGTGGAGTGCAGCTGAAATCCCATTTCGGGGGGAGGTGAAGACAAGAAGGTCCCTGGGGCTTGCCAGCCAGCCAGTCTAGCCAAATCAATGAGCTCAAAAGTCAGAGAGAGACTGTCTCAAAAAAAGTGGGGAGTAACTGGGGAAGGTACTTAACATGGACCTCTGGCCTCCACAAACGTACACACACAAATGAACACATACACACACACACACACACACACACACACACACACACACACACACACACACACACTAATACATTATCTGGAATAGATACATAGATAATAGATACAGCTATAGATTGATATACCAGCCACTGTCAATAATTCAATGAGTGTCCAGTATACACACACACACACACACACACACACACACACACACACACACACACCACACACACACACACACACACACACACACACACACACACACACACACACACACACAGAGTTCATCCAGAGAAAATCCCAGTAAACCAATTTCAACCCATATTCAATTTATTCAACATCTATTTTGTACCTTGCTAAAATTAGTCCTTGAAATCTATTCTTCTTGCTGAATGTCATAGTTAAAATGTGACATGTCAATCAGCTTCTACAGGCAAGTGTTGCCAAGCTCCTTGTCTCACTGATCTACTTTTTTATTTTCCACTTTCTCTGAGCCAGTTTTTTTTTTTTTTACAGCTGTAAGCTACAGCAAGAAGACTATATTCTTCCACCATAATTTAATTACAAAAGTTAAAATGCACAGTTTAGAGTGCCATGGTTTCAGTTTCCAGATTGGCTGTTTCTATCAAGTCTAATTTTTCTTGACTCAATCTTTACAGTCTCCAGAGTTTCTAATTATATGTGATCTTGTCTATGGCCATGATACCCTGAATGGGTGCTATCTAATTAAATGTGAAATGTGATTTTTTTATTTTACATGTATGTATTTATTGTGTGTGTGTGTGTGTGTGTGTGTGTGTGTGTGTGTGTGTGTTCATGCACATGTAAGCTACAAAATACATGGGAAGGTCGGAGGACAATGGTCAGAAGTGGGTTCTCTCCTTCCACTGTGTGGATCCCAGGAATCAAACTCAGGTTGTCATTAATGGCTGTAAGCACCTTTACCTTCATAAAGGTCTGTACATTTTTTGTGTGTATGGGTGTTTTGCCTGAATGTATGTCTGTGCACCATATTGTGTTCCTGATGCCCTCTGAGACCAGAAGAGCATGTAAGATCTCCTGAAAGTGGAGATACAGACAGTTGTGAGCTGCCATGTGGGTGCTGGGGATCGAACCCAGGTCCTCTAAAAGAACAGCCAGTGCTCTTAACCACTGAGCCATCTATCCAGCTCTACCACTGAGCTAAATCCCCAACCCCAAGCCTCTTTAAAAGATCCCTGCTGAGCTGCCTTCCTCACTTTGCATATTACCTATACATTTTAATCTATACATCTGTATTTAATCTACACGTGTGTGGTTTTACCCACTTTCAGCTATTTTGTATCTTGATTGAGTCTGTAACAATCTACATATCCAGTCCCCTCATTTATAAAATAAAGGCAATTGTTATGTACCAACATAATAATGGCACACTATTAGGAGTAAGCAGCTAATGAATGCATGCACTTAGCTCAGTACCCAGTGCCCAAGATGCATTTCATCAGTTATTCAAGATTAGCACAAAAGGCCCTTCATGGTCTGCCTTTCCCTCCCCACAACCTCCAGATTCGTCTCTTCTTTCCTGTTCTCTCTGTCCCAATGTCCTTCATGTTGTTATGTTCCTATATGCCCTCACCCAAGCTAGTTCTTCCTCTAGATTTTCTCACCTTCCTGCACTTCCCCCCTCCCCAGACTGATGTTGCCCTAGCCTATGGTTCAGAATACAACTGAGCTCTCTGTGTGTGTGCAAAGCCTTATCTCACTCAGTTGCACCTTTGCCCTCCTCCCCTTTCATCTCACCTTGACAACATTAACACTATCTTCATCAGTATCTACAACCCAGGATGTGCCAAGAAAGGCTGGTAGAATAAATGTGTGCGCCAAACACACATTTCTCTACCCAGACACATTTGCATGTTCTTTCCCAATCACTTCTTATGTCACGTCCATTAGTCCCAGGTGAAACTCATTCTCTTCTGCACTTCAGGCTTACTAAGGATGGCAGAAAGGTGGAAAAGCCTCTTCCTTCTAAGACTGCTGCCCCAGAAAAACCAGAAAAACTCACACTCAATAATTCCCTTATATAACCTTGCCGTGGCTTTTCCTTAGCCTGTGTGCAGAACCTCAAAGCCTCACCATAGCCAGACCAATCCTGCATGCTCTGGCTTCTGCCACCCTTCCATCTCCGTGTCACTTGGCCCCTTGCTCCAAGCAATTGGGGCACAGGCTGGGTTCTTCGGTTCTCAGATACAAGGTCCCTGCTGCCCTGGGCTTTCCCATGTTGTTCCTCCCTTTAGAAGCCCATCCCCCATCTTAGTTAGGTTTTCTATTACTGTGGTAAAACACTATGTCTAATGCAACTTGAGGGGAAAAAATGTTTTATTTCACCTTATAGTTCCATATTACAGTCCATCAGCAAAGAAAGTCAGGGCAGGAACTGAAGGCAGGAACTGAAAGAGCTGCCAAGGAGAACCCCTGCTTCCTGGCTTGTTCGTGGCTTGTTCAGTCTGCTTTCTTACATCATCCAAGACGCATGGCACTGCCCACAGTGAACTGGACCTCCAACATCAATCATGAATCAAAAAACCATCCCACGGGTTTGCCTACAGGCCAATATTATGGAGGCATTTTCTCAGTCGAGGTTCTCTCTGCCTGAATGACTGTAGCCTGTGTCAAGTTGACATAAAAACTAGCCAGCATACATGCCAACTCTTCCTGGATCTGGTGAGGCTTGTTCTTAGTGTGACTTGGTTTAGGTAAGACCACTGTGTCTAACAAGTACACTACCAGCCTATCACTTCACAAAACTCCAGAACAATAGCTAATAAAGTTTAAGCAGGAGACAGTGTCTCTGCCTTTGATGAAACTGGAACACGGAGAGTTGGGATAGCTCATCTTGTTCCTTGCGGTATCCATAGCACTTAACACTGAGCAGGAGCCCTGACAAGTTTCATCAGACAAGTGAGAACTGATCCAGCGAGTGTGAAACCATCTGGAAGGCCTTCTCTGGAAGATATGGGTTGTTGAGTCTCCTGGGTGATGCTGAGACCACAGGGGACCACTGGGACAGGGATAGGGAGCCATGAGGAGCCGCAGACAGTCACCAAGTCAGGAGGAGGAGCCTGAGCAGAGGCAGTGAGAGGAACTCTAGAAACTGCTGTGATCGAGGCCTTGGTGCTGGGAGGTGCAAGTCAGAAACATACCAGGGCCACCGGACCAAAGCATGTCTGAAGGCCTTGTACACATCCCCACACAAAGCCTGAAGGAGAATGGCTTCTTAGGGGACTCCCAGAGCTTTTTGGTATCTCTACATTCCCTCCTACACTGTCTTCGGGAGGCTCATCACTTAACCTGCAGAGATAGATGCCTCTAATACCTTCCACCCCAGCACAACCACATGAAGCTGGTACAGTTTTTGGCAGGCAGTGGTTCCTCAACAGGGATCAAGTCAGTGATGAGTGAACTCCTGTCCAGGATGTCACAGGATGCTCAGGACTCCCCCTTGTGGTTTCACAGTTCTTAGCACTCCTGTGAGGGATTTTACAATGCTTGGCACAAAAAGGAACTCCTGTAGAAGATCCCAACCAACCATGGCTGCCACGCAAGCTTAGTAGGTTTCACAGTGCACACACTCCATTCAGATATGCACAAAGTAAAGGGCACTGACCAAAATGTTACATCTTATCAAGCCAGAAAAAGAAGATTGACATTTCCTGAATTTGTGCCCTCCCCCCCAAAAAATAGAGATTTGATTCAAAAACCAAGTCAATCAAAACCTGGAGTCTATAGGAGGTTGTTATATTACAAATTGGGGAGAGGGGATTACTAGAACCATGGTAACTATTGATAGGCTAATTTAGTTCAATGCAAGTATCCTATTTTAGTAATAAATCTATTAAGTGGAAAATTAACTTTTGCCACATGAAATGACCTAAGAACTCACAAGAAAGTGGTACTGCTTAGATGTGGATACAAGTGAAATCATAGGTTTGATGGTCAAAAGTTGAAGGTATCCCCATCTGAAGGTGTCCCCATCTGATGGTCTCCATTTCCACTACCAGCTAGGAGACTAAACCAACTACAGACATGGAAAGGGAAGTGACAGAGTCACCAGTGACAGTTTTGAGGTAGCTACTGGAAAACAGAACCAGACAACTGATGAAGGAAATGGAGAATCCACCAGGAGTGTGGCAAAGGTTACTGGAGACAAGGGATGCAAAAATGTATGGCACGTGGTATATAATAAATACTCAGTCTCCCCCTTTTCCAGCCCCTTCTGATTATTTACACTTGTATTCTCTGTTAGTGCACGTCATGAGTGTCCAATTTTAGTAGAGTTGGGACTAAGTCCTCACACTCAGTAGGTGAGGCACATGTCTGCAGAACTGGGCTGGATCCTTCCTTTCTGCAGAACTTTGCTCTCCTGGTCAGAGAGGTGACGAAGGCAGCATCTCTTGATACTGGTCTGACTAAACTTCAGAGAACCTGGATCTTTGGGCCAGAAAAAAAAGCATTACAACTTTTCCACACTGTTCCACCTGCCTCCAGATCTTGATTTCCCCACCCACTAAACTGTGACCTATATCCAGCAACTCAGAAAACTACGTTGTTCAGGTAATCAACCTTATTAAGTGCTTTGTAATGTAGCTGACTAAAAAGACAGTGATCCTTTAAGCAGGTAATTTCTCACAGTATCAACAACCATAAAAATGTTCATGCCTAATGACCTAGGCATTCCAGCCACAGAAGTATGTAGTGGGTAGCTGTTCCAGCTTTGACCTAGAAGTACTACACCCATTGAGGTTTCAGTAACTGTCATGGCTACAAGGCGGGGCCGAAAGAGAACCCTGAAGACCCGAGATCCGGATGTGCCGGCTCTCTTGGTTCCTAGATCCTGGACGCTGGAGGTAGATTGAGCAGAGTTTTCCAGAGAACACTGCTGGACTGCACTACACCTTTTCCAGACCCTGTAACCTATCCCTTCACTTGTAAGTTACCCCACAAAATAAATCTCCCTTTTAACTACGTGGGGTGGCCTTAATACTACAACCAATAGAAGTATGTCCTACCACAGGTATTTCGCCCTTTTTCTATCAGCCCACCCAGAATATCACCATTCACAGATCATTCCTAGATTATGGACAAAATCTGTTTAACCTGGGATGTGACTGTGCAATTCCCACTTCTTTGCCTTTCAACCAGAGATAGAAGGAAAGAAATTATTCCGAATTAAGTTATTCAGTAAAGTAAGTAAATAAATCATCAAAGGTAGTATTCCACCTGATAATAAATCAGTTGCAATTTCTGTAATCCATTACCACAAAAGCGATGTTTTGGGATTCAAATCAGAAATTCCCATCCTATGAGGTAACCCAAAAGAATGGAAAACGCCCAAATGGAAGAGTTAGTCTGATGGCAACTCTCATTGCCTCATCATGGAAATCCTGGATGTTAGAGAGCAGGGAGTTATGCCTTCTTGTCTCAAGGAGAAGCCACGGGTTTACATGTATGCAAGACAGGTAGAGAACCAGCAAAACATGATGGATAGAGTTGGAGAGTCGGAAGGCCTGAACTGCTAACATCATCTGGCTGTGATTTCCTATAACTTCAAAAGCTACTGAATCAGGCTGGAGAGTTGACTTGGTAGTTAAAAGAACTCGCTGATCTTGCAGATAACCAGAAATGGATTCCCAACACAGCTCACAACCACCTGTAACTCCAGCTCCAGAAGTGGTGCCCTCTTCTGGCCTCCATGAGCACATGCACACACAGACACATAAATTAAGATAAATCTTTTTTAATTTTTAATGATTTATTTTGTTGTTTTATGTGCATTGGTGTTTTGTCTGCCTGTATGACTGTGTGATGGTGTTAGATCCCTTGCAACTGGAATTACAGACAGTTGTGATCTGCCATATGGGTGCTGGGAATTGAACTCGGGTCCTCTGGAAGAGCAGACAGTGCTCTTAACCACTGAGCCATCTCTCCAGCCCCAAGGTAAATCTTTTTTAAAATTAAAACAAAGTTGACAAATACCTCAAATAGGATGCCAGTTGTGTATGCACTTTGAGATGTAGACACTGCACGAAGGTGACGTGTAACGCAGCATGCTGGCTCTGCCGCTGAATGGGATCCAGCAGCAATGCTTTAGATCCAAACACCAATCTTACTTTTACCCATTCCTGTTAAGAAACCCTCTAGGATTTTTAGTTGGTCTTCATATTCACACATACAAGGCAAAGACAAAATCATGGCCATGGCATGACAAAATAAATATTTATTAGAAGTCAAAACTATTTCCTCAATGAGACCAAAGCAGTCTTCCTTTTTATGATTTCTTGAACATGTAATTTCACACATACAATACTAAGAACAGTCTATAAATTAATTTTTACAAGAATCAGGCACATCCAGTGAGAACAAGATGATAATTCTGTATCTGGAACTAAGGTCACAGTAACTATAAAATAAGATTAAAAACATCTAAGTCAATGCAGAAGTCAAGTATGGCTTACAGACTCTGGTGAGGGCCTGTCTCCCTGAGCCTCACCCAGAGCCAAAGGAGACAGTCACCAGGCCCTGAGAAAGGAAAGGAACCTCAATAATACTGTACTCTCTTGGGCAGGTGCCTAAGAGCTCAATGACTTCACAGTACAACTTATTACTCCTTCCCCCGACACCAGGAAGGAAGGTAAGCACCTGTATTATTCCAGACACATGACCTAATATCTAGAATACAGATCTCTTCCTGGGGAAATGTTCAGCCAAAACAGGGTTTGCCACTACTGAGTATGCTCGATCCCATCCCTGGAAAACCTCTTCCCCCTACATTACTGAAATGTAAATCATGGAGTTTTAAGATGTCCTGATAGGCCCATGGAATCAGTGGTGTGTGTTGTTTTTGTTATTATGTTGTTATTGTGTGGATTTAGGCACATTTGACATGTAGACTTGTCATTGGGGTTGTAAGGACAATGCTAATTTCCAAGTCATGTGAGGGGAAAAAAAACTAGCCCCTTAATGTGCCAACTACAAAAAGACCTGATGATAAAAGCTGTGCAGAAGGATACCTGTAGCCCAGATATGAGGACATCCTAGCCTCACCTGCTCTGACATGACTTTGAACAAGTCTATGTTCATTCCAGAGCCTGAGTGTCCAGGCATATGGTGAGAGATTTGGTCCTTTTGAGCAGGACACTTTTTGTCAAACTTCCCTTCCTTGGTTTCGTGGACCCTCTTAGCTTGACCCTCTGGGCTGAAAGCCTTTGGGGAATCTCACATTTAGATGAATATCCAGTTCAGAAATGGTTTTGTCAACAAATTCCATCTGGATCCACAGAAAGCAGATCTCTACAACAAGTAAGAAGACGAAGGTCCAGCTTGTTGTTTCTATCTTCCAAATTCCCCCACCTTCCATCCAAGTGGGAAAGGCAGAGCTAAGTGGTTTTATCTACCAACTTCAAGTCAAAACAAAGCTAGAGTCCTAGCTCCCTAGAGCCAATGGTTACACTTCAAACAAGGACATCTGTTCAAGATAACTCAGAGGGACTCCACCTGTATAATACTGGTTTGTAGGACATCTAGGAACCTTAAATTCACCTGGTTGCTTTCGTCAACATCTTCCCCCCATAAGTGCTCATTTCTTGAACACCTCCAAAAGCTGAGGCAGCTGTTTCCTGAATGGAACCACAATCTTAATCTATTTCTGTCACCATTTCTGCCCATCGGGAACATATCTGCTCTTTCTGTCCATGATGTCCCCCTCAAATATTCTCTTTTCCAGAGACACAAGCATGCTTTATCATCTTCCCTACCTGAGTGTGATCTTTGAACACTAGAGACCCCAATAGGTTGAGCAGACATTGGCTGCTGCAAACTGGGCAGTCTGGGCAGTCTCCAGTGCTCTACCTGGCCATGCAGGATGGAATGGCCAACTTTTCACCTGCCCAGCTAAGCTGGCACACAGAACCTTCCAGAATGGAGAAGACTGCCAGAATGGACTGCATTACCTGATCTCCAGTCAGATTAGCTCACCAAATGCCAAGTTTTCTAAAGACCAAACTTATTTCTGATCCATTTAACGTTTTTTTAAATCTTTGTAATGATCTATAATTCCATCTCACACCTTTCCATGTGAATCCTTTTAGTAAATAACAGAAGAGTGGGGAGGGGTTATTGCATTTCTAGTCACTGGAAAAGTTCTTCTATCCCCAAAATGACTGAAATTTCAAGAAGAAGAAAAATCTGAGGCTGAGGATATGAAAATAAGCCCCAATCTGGCAGACCTTCTTTCTTCAGAAGGCTTCTGCTACAGATTCAAAATTCACAGTTAACAAAAATGTATGCTAGCAGTGCATTTCAGGTATCTTGCTGAATTCCCCCAATGTGAAACAGTGTGTGTGCTCGTCACCTCCGAGTTTGAAGACCCTGTAAACAGATCACTGCTATTTCTGTCTCAGACAAAGTGAGGCCAGCACTGGGTGAGACTGGAATAGGACAGGCACCAAACCCTTCCCCCAGATCACAGCCTGTCTCCCTCAGGCTTCGTGTATGTGAAGAAAAGCTTATTGTCCTGACTCTGGCTACCCTGAGACCTAGTATATAATACTTACATCTAGTCCAAAAGCCTAAAATCTAGTTCTCAGCTTTTAAAGTTGTTTACTTCATCTGAAGTAATTTTCGTTCAAAACTGAAATGGCTTTTCTGAACTAAAAATAAAAACCTTGTGCCAATTCACTATTAAAAATGTCTCTCGGTTGGAGACAGTTTTAGCCTTGGATTTCATTCCAAGGATGGAGTCCAGTTTCCTGTTTGCTGGAGGCTCTGGAAGGGCATTTCCATAGCTCACTCCCCTCGTTCCCCAGAAGATCTGGCTTAGCTCAGGCCCTCTGCATATTCTGGGACAGGATCAAAAGTCTCCCACAAATTCAGGAGATGTAGTCATAGTTGGGGAGGTAAAGGAGGAATCTGTGGGCTGCAGCTGGCCCCAACAATAGGGCCATAGCAGGAGGGAAGGCTGCTCCCCACTCCTCAGACCCCATCTCCTTCCTTCCTTCCCCAGCACATGTGTCTTGGAGCCGAGCCAACCTGCAGGTGCCTCACCCTGGACTTCAGGAGACTTCCAGACTCAGGGCCGCAGGTCACCAGTTTGTACTCACCTCCCTCAAGTCACAAAACCCAAGGTGCTTTCCTTTCAGATCCTGACAGCAGCCCCTCAGCAGCCACCAATCAGTGTGAGGAGCATTTTGCTCCTAATTCAGCACTCTGCACAGCACCTCAGGATCAGACCACAGTGTTCGTACCAGCTCTAAGCCATGCTTCTACACCGATGTTTCTGGAAATTCATCTAGTTCATCAAATGCATAGAGGGTGGTTTTACTATTGCACCTGGAAGAATCTTGAATTTTGTTCAAATCTGCTGTGGGAAAGGGACAGAGAGAGAGAGAGAGAGAGAGAGAGAGAGAGAGAGAGAGAGAGAGAGAGAGAGAGAGAGAGAGAGGTTAGAAGTACATCACTCTGCCCTGTTCCTATGTGTTAGTGCAATCCTTTTTCCTGGTGGTGCTGAGGATTGAACCCAAGGCCTGAGCTACACCCCAGCCCCCAACCACTCAATTTTCAAAAGCTGTTCTAAATAGTGCTACAGAGAGTCAGAGCTGAGGAGGACCTCCAGTTTCACAGGTAGGAAAACCAGGGCTCTTGGTCTTGATTCACATGAAGTCACATGGTCTACAAAGAGGATCTCACACCACCTCCCAGCAATAGTACCTGTCCGTCTTATGGGCCCTGGATCTTCATTAAGGAAGGACACGTGTGTTTTCCATTCCGTCCACTTCACCTCGTTGATCCTGCATGTGTGGCCATGGTAATCACTACTTCATGATCGCATCTCAGTAAACACATTTGGGGTGTCCCAGTTTCTACATAGCTCCTCTTCTGACTGTCACAGATATGTGGATGCCCCAACCTCCCATTTGCTGACCCTACCTACCTCAAAGACTACTGCCCCACAGCCCTTCCCTCTTTGTTACCGCAGACACAGCCGGAAATCCTCATCTGCTACTTTGCACAGCTCTCCCATGCGGAATCTGCTTCTCAGCCATTCTGGTAACATTTTCTCAAACTCCAAGATGGTCCTGGCTCTCTGGGGAAATAAAAAAACCTAAACTGGTTTCTCCAAGCCTGCTCTATGAGCCCTGCTCCAGAGGAGGGTATACCCACAGGTACCCCATCTAATAGCTCACTCCAGCCTCACTTGTACTTAATGCATAGGTCTTGATGGTTGAGGTAGTCTACAGAATTCAAACATGAGAAAGCAGAAACTTGGGGACAGATGGCTAAATTGCTTTAAGCTTGACATAAAGAGTATATCTGGACATCAGGAGCCTCCTAACGGAAATGTTGGGGTCCTGGAACTGCAAATGTTCAGAAGTCAAACATTCCCACACTCTCCCCCAGGCTTGGGCTCCATGGAAGTTTTCCCGTTTATGTGTCCAGTCTCCCACAGTTTTAACAATCTAGTTTAAAAGGTTCTGGTAACTAGAACCCTCTGTGCTGAATGGAAGCTTCTCTCCCTGTGTGTCCCTCCCTTGCAGGCAGCTCTGCAGATATCTGAAGTGATGCTCCCCTCCTACACACCTACTTCCAACAACCACTTCCTAAGCAGCATCATTTCTAGTCAGCTCACAAATCTGGTCAACACCACAGGACCCACACTGTGAGCTGTTCTCAGGAGTGAGAAATGAGAAGTCCAGGATAGAACAGAGCAGAAATGGCACTTTCATGTTCCAGACTCTTACTTCCCCTACTTCAACCTGAGGTCACCTTTCTTTTTTTATTATTATTAATTTAATTAACTCATTTATTTTACAATCCGACTGCAGTTTCCCCTCCCTACTCTCCTTCTGTTCCCTCCCACCACCTCCCCTCTCCCTCCCCATCCACTCCTCCTCTGTTTCTGTTCAGAAAGGGGCAGGCCTCCCATAGGTGTCAGCAAAGCATGGCACATCAAGTTGAGGGAGGACTAAGCTCTGAGGTCACCTTTCAATGTCCACATGTCATGGATAACAATGAATAAAGCACCCCCAAAGTCTGCATTCCCTTTATGTGCTGTTGTTCGAAACCCTGTTCTCAAAGAACCTACAGTAAGGCTTAAGAAGATTCTCAGGATGCACCCCAGATCCACTGGTGCTGATGGCCGTGCAACACCTCAAGATGAAGTGCTGAGCCAAGTCCCTATAGAGACCTCTGCTCAGCTCACCTGCAAGCGCCAGATCCGCTCACTCTCTTTGGAGACGTTCTCCACCGTCTCCCCCATCAGGGCGATGAGCATGTTGAGGAGGAGGACGAAGGTGAGGATGACATAGGTGATGAGAAGGAAGAGAAAGAGGATGGGGTAGGTGGAGTTCTGCTGGATGTTCAGGTCGCCCAGGCCTATGGTGAGCTTGAAGAGCTCCAGCACCGCGTCGCTGAAGCTGCCATAGGAGCTGCAGTCCTTTTTGTCTTTGGCGCACTTCTCAATCAGCGAGGCCAGTGCTGGGGGCACAAAACGGGTGGTCTTGGGCTCTCTGCTGGCTGGCTACTCAAAGAACTCGGCTGCCTCCCTCCTTCTGACCTCTCAACACCCATCTCTCCTCCCCTCCATCCCATCTCAGGTTTCCCAGAAGCCTAATGAAGCTAGTTTTCCCATCCAACCTGCAGAAAGCCCTTCCTGTCCACTAAAGCCCACCCTCTTCTCCCCTCCTGTACCCTCAGCTTGGCCCTCACTCATCCACAGTCTATCAGGGTTACCACTTACCCTGTGTGTGACCCTAGCTCCCTATAGACAAAGGTTCTGACTGTATGTAGTCTGAGTGGTCTCTCCCAAGACCTGCATCCCCTCTTAATGCTGTATTGTGAGTTCCCTGTGAACAAGATCTGGGCTTGCTTTTCTCTTCTCTCCAACACACCCCAGCCGTTTTTTTGTTGCTGGGTAAGTGAATGGGTGGACTCAGGTGTGAGTGCACGGGTGGGCTTATGTGTGAATGAATGGGCTGGCTCATGTGTGAGTGAATGTGTGGAGGGAAAAGCAAACAGGTGAAGGGTCAAATAAATAAGCAACATCTGTCCCAGAAAAGGCATCAGACAGATGAGAGCAGCTGCCTAATTTGAGTCAACAGTCACTGAATGAAGAAAAATAACTCACAAAATTGATATAGAGAAAAACATGCCATCTGTCTGTGCAGTGGTTAGAAATAATATTGGGTTAGGCTGCTCCCACTGGATTTTTAAAAAGCGCCTCCATATCTCTGACCCCCCACAAACTGTTAACTCTCACAGAGATATCTGAAGCAAACTGTGAGAGTCACAAGCTGTGGAGGGCCAGAGGAAGCTACCGCAGTGCACTAGGTTGTTCCTAGTTGTTGAAGACGACCCATCAAGTTTCTGTGAGCTCTCGTTTCCCCATCTGTAGAATGGGTGGGGACATCTACTGAGCCTATCTCAAATTGTGGTAGATGTGAAAGTCTGGGGAAACCACAGGCTGGATGGGTAAGAGTGTCAGCCATGAATTAATCCATGGAGTCAAGGGTGATGACACTAGCTTGGTCAAGTTGCTGAGAGAAGGGAAAAAAAGCTTCTGCTTGGCAAACACCAATGTGGCAAGTGCTGTAATGGCCGCTGCTGAGGCCGCTGTGTGTTCTGTCATTCTGCCCTCCGGATGAAGTGCTGTACGAGCACGGGAGTGACTGTTGGTTGTGAAGCAATTACCTACTCCAAATCCAAGTAAGAACAGGATGTAAACAAACAAGAACTTCAGAACATCGTGCAAAATGACCTGCAAAGAAACAGACATGATTCCAATGTGAGCACACAGTCTCTGTGTACCAGCTCCCTGCTACCCACTCTAACCTGCCTTCACTCTGGCCCTCTCCATCCCCTCCTCATCCCTTGATGCTCCCAGGCTCCACTGAGGCCCCACCTCTACCAGGAAGCCTTCTTTCCCGCTTTGTTCCCAAGGCCTCTCTTCCCTCAGCCTCACCTCCCAGGTCACGGTCTGAGTCACCCTGTGCCTTTCTCTATGGAGTCTCACATCCGGGCCTCCCCGGGGGCAGTGGCATGTCAGAGCCATCCCATATCAACTTCTAAAAGCTGATGGTTGAATTTGCATGAGTGTTGTGACCATGGCCATTAGGACGAACTGAGCCAAACATTCAGTTGTAAGATAAATAAGTTTTGGGACTCTCATGAAAAATACCAGATTGTGTGGTTGAAGTGTGCCCAAATCAGAGGTCTGCAGTGTTCTAACATATATAAATGGTAGCTATGGGACCTGATGGCTGTGTTAACTAAGTTGAAATTGATTATCACTTCACAGTACATAGCTATACCTAATTCTACACTTTAAATGAACACAAATTTTCAAATGTAGCTCAATAAATAATAAGAAAAAATGTATTGCAAAAATATTCGATCATGTAAGTCAAACATAGTGGAGCATGCCTATAACCCAAGAATGCTAAAGGTTGAGGCATGAAGCCCATGAGCGTCTAACCAACCTGAGTGCTATATTAAGAACCTGCCTCAAAATAAAATTTTAGTCACATAAATTTATAATTAAGCTACATTATAAGATAATAAATATTCAAAATTGAGAATTATCTGGTTATTTTTCTACATTATACAATTATCTATGGTCTGGGGGATTATTTATAGCTATTGTAACCAGATAGTGGAAATACTATGTAATAATGTGCAACTGCGCATCTCTTCCCAACTGTGTTAACTGACATGTCAGCAACTGAAAGTCCGCCATAGTAGGAATATTTATTCCATGAAAATTGGCAGTGCTACAAATATTTAAATCCTACCAACAAAATGTTCTTTGTTTTCTGGATGTCTACATCTAGATTCAAGACAATGACCCAGAAAATGTCAAGGCAGATTAAACTTTAAAATGTGGGCTGTCAGAAACTCACAACTGGACAAAGTACAGAGAATGAGTATCTGTGGAAGCTCAGCCACAAGTGGGACATCTATATCATATCCCTCCCCTAAAGACTCAGGGACCACTGTGGGATAACGGGCGAAAAGGCGGTAAGAACAAAGGTCAGGGGAGAGCAGATGGAAACAGTGTCTTCTGGACATGCCAGGACCACTGTGCCAATGAACTGCAACTGTTGCCTGTAGAATAAAAGCCAATCAACATTCCAGCATGGAGTGGGGCGGGGATCACCAGCCCCGACCCCTAGCTGAGGAGCTATTGACAGTTGATGTCTTCTGGGGGAGAAGGGGTCAGTTTTTCTTTAAGAGTGGGGCCTTGTTAAGTTGACTAAGTTGATCACATTGCAGTGGATGACTCCACACCCAAGAGTATATGCTCAGCACAGATTGGAATAATTAGGGGTGTGTGTGTGTGTGTGTGTGTGTGTGTGTGTGTGTGTGTGTGTGTCTGTGGTTTTATATATATCATATATGTATTATGTATTATATACATATGTGGATATATAAATATATATATGTATATATATATATATATATTTGTGGGTTTTTTAAAGAAAAGAGAACATGAAGTTAAGAGGGGTGGGTGAGGGAAGGAGAAGTTAGGCAGAGTTAGGCAGAGGAGTCAAGTAAATATGATCAAAATACATTGTATGCATGTATGAAATTTTTAAAACATTAGTTAAAATATGATATTTTTAAGAATGGGCTGTCTCTCGCTGTTCCATCATGACTAGCACAGGAATGTTATCAACCCTTCTGGTGCTTGCTAACAGTTACCCGGTTCAGCAAAGCAGTTGCTCTCAGCTTGACTAACAAGCTCAAGGCTAAGTCTCCAGTGCTTCATCTCACATCACTGCTTACAAAGTAAAACATCAACCGGCCTTCAGGTCAGACAGGAGCAGTGCTCACTTGTCAGCTGCAACTGCAGGCTGGTGACATCCTTCATAGAGCAAAATTGTATGACTATTGTATGTATGTACCTATGCAATGTATATACACTTGTCTATGCATTCATGTAGGCATACACCCGCACATATATCGCAAAGGGCAATTGTTAGATATTTTCCCAGTTGCTCAAGGGTCAGAACATTTCCTTCATAAAGTATACTCCTATCCAATGCCCAACAAGCCCAGTTAAGGGCTGGACATTTAACATCTGACCAAAACCAAATGAAGATTGTAGCATTTTGGAGAAAGTGCTGGATTACTGATTATCACTCCACATCTTAGTTTCTGCATCTGAAAAGGGGAAGCTCTGCTCTCAAAGGGCTCTCTGCACAGTTCCCAGCATACCTTCTGGATCATGACGCTGTACATGCCCATTGACTGGAAGCCTCTCGTGTAGTACAGCATGTTCGCCCAGCCCAGGGCCATGGCCAGCACAAGGCAGGCGAGGTATACTTTGTAGGCAAACAAGTACAAGAAGACAGACAGTATCACAAGCACAGCTTGGACAAAACTGTTCAGGAGACACAGGAGACAAGGGCCTTACTTCTCAGCAGCAGGCAGAAACATTCATCCCCCAAACCCTAACCTCTCAAGGGTCACCCTGGAGGCTGGTGTTGATGAGACAAATAAGTCTGCCTGTCATCCATTCAGCTGGGTCTGATGCAGTGTAAACCGCATCACTAGCTGCAAGACAGGGCCAGTGTGGGCTGGTTGAACCTGACAGGGACTTAAAATATATATACATATTTACATACCCAGGATGCCAACAGACTCTGGCATACAGCCCGCAGGCCGGATGGCTTGGAAATCACCTACATGGTTACGATTCCCACATAGATGTGAGAAACACTAGGGCAATGATTTAGTAAAAAAGTGTATTTTTAATAAAAATTACAAATCTTCCAACATTCATACTCAGAAATTAATTATAATTTTAAAGTCTCCCAAAGCCTACTACTCCTTTATCATTTTAAGGTATGATGTATGCTCAATGAAGCAAGACAGTTATAAAAATGACAGTTACCGTCTTTCTACTTATGTGAAAAGTACCCAGAGTGGTCAAAATCAGAGACCAAAAATAGAAGGGTGGTTGCCAGAGGGGAAGACAGATGGGGGTTGTGATTCACTCGGTACAGGGTTTCAGTTTCACAAGAAGAAAAGCAACCTGGAGGCTGGGTGCACAACCACGTATATGCCACAGCTTTGACCTGCGCTTGAAAATGGTTAAGATGGAGGCTTTGTGGGTAGTGAGATGGCTGAAGCGGTAAAGGTGTTTCCTGCCAAGCCTGAAGACCTGAGTCTGATTCCTGGAACTCACAGAACAGAAGGTGTCCTCTGGCTTCCATATATGGCATGACTTCAGTGATGGCATGTGCCCTCCACCCTGCCTGCACACACATACACACACACACACACACACACACACACACACACACACACACACACACACATATGTAATTAAATAAATATTTTAAAAGTATTTTAAAGATGTTAGTTTTTATGTGATACATCATTGTGGAAGAGGTGGCGGGATGATTACAAGAGCCAGAGGTTGGGGAAGCCTGCTGCAAAGCAGTGTTTTCTGAGTATGACAGGGTTGGTATATATCAGAATCACAGCGGCTCTGGCAGCATGTACAAGAGCTGCAGAGGATCAAGCCAACCAAAATTCCCAGCATGAGTAGGGGAGGGGCCCACGAAGTCCCACCCATAGCTGAGGAGATACTGGCTGTTGATGGCTGCTGGGGGAGGGAGATATTTTCTTTGGCGGTATAGCCCCTGGGGGTTGCCAGCTTTGTCTATATAGTGAGTTCTGAGCCAACTACATAGTGAAACCCTATCTCCAAAAACACAAAAGGAGCACATGAAATCGGGAGGGAGAAGCGGTAGAGGAATATGAGAGGTGGTGGAGGGGTGAGAGTAACAGTTGGATTTGGTGAAAATGTATTATATATGAAACTTTTCCAAACAATAAATATAGCATACAACAAGCATACATGATGAAAACATCCTCCTAAACACTGCCCACCCTTGCAGTTTTGCAGACACCTAGTTGAAAATACTCTTGTGCGTCTAGTGTTTGCACAGTTACAAAGTATCTAATCAAGTTTAGGTGGCAGCAAGCTTGCTTTTCCCGCAAGTGAGGCACAAAGGCCTGATGAACCGCACTAAGGACTGCGGTGAGGAAGGCTGGCCCTACCTTCCTCTACCGTAACAAAACAAAGGAGAAGCAGAAGACCAGGACGTAATGCACTAGGACCAGAGACTGTGTAAACATGTCTTCTCTGGAGCGATCAAACTTTCTCAACAGTGGCAGGCACACATGTGCCCTGCATCCTGGGGCAGTGTCTATCTGGCCTGTCCACTTACTGAACCTGTCCTTGGTCGATGAAGAACTCAGTTCATACCTCTAGATCAGTGGTTCTCAACCTCCCTAATATTGCAACCTTTAATACAATTCCTCATCTTGTGGTAATCCCAACCATAAAATTATTTTCACTGTTATTTCGTAAATGTAATTTTGCTACTATAATGAATTGTAATGTAAATATCTGATATTCGGGATGGTCTTAGGTGAACCCTGTGAAAGGGTCATTTGACTCCCCAAAGGGGTCGTGACTCTCAGGTTGAGAACCACTGCTCTAGAGCCGGTACACACTTCATAAAACTCCTAGGTGGGTGCTGGAGATGGCTTGGCTGGCATAAACGTACCATGAGGACCTGAGTTCAGATCCCCAGCGCCCATGTGAAAAAGCCAGGTGTGGCAGTGAGTGCTCACCATCTCAGCCCATGGGGAAGCAGAAATAGGAGGATCGAGGATCAGATCCCCGGGGCTTGTTGACTAGCCAGTCTAGACAATCAGGGAACTCCAGATTCCGTGAAAGACCATGTCTCAAAAAGGAAAGGGTCTCAAAAAAGAAGGCAGAGAATGATTGAGGAAGATACCTAACATCAAACTCTGACCTACGTACACACACATGCACTCCTGTACACGTGCAGGGACACACACACACACACACACACACACACACACACACACACACACACAGTTAGAAACATCCACCTCCTACATATTCCAAAGAGAGACATCAATAGTGTGCCACAGCTGAACCAGCATTCTTCATCCTCAGCTGTGGCCTCCATGACATTACCACAGAGCCAGGCTGGGTCTGCCTGGGCTCATTAAGGGTGACGGCGGGGCGGGGGGATGGGAGGTGTCAGAGGATCCTTCAGTGTCAGCTGCATATGACTTCATGCAGAGAGGCTGCTAAGCTGGGCTTTCTTGGGGGGTGGGGACCAGGGCCATCAACACAGCAACAGCTGGGGTTCTCCCATGGCTGGGGCACTGCATCATGGTATATGACTTACTGCCCTGCTCCAAGAACTCCAGGGGTGGCTCTAGATGAGCCTGATTTCTCAGGAGCCTTCTAGTCCTGACCAACCTCGGTCTCGGATGGCAACTTTGAGGTATCATTGAGGCTGGAAGGGATCGCCCTGACACACTGCTGTGTGTGAACACCAATAGGACTGCCCAAGCTTCTACTTCTCTGGGGTGCCTGCCATTTGGGACTTTGAGAGACGGAGTTAGCCTTCCCCTGCCATCAGGACAGGCTCTGTCCTAAGAGCTCCTGATCCTCTTCACAGGTATCTCCACGCATCTCTGTCTAGAAGAGGCAGAGGGGGTCTCTGGACCATAATGATAAGGGGATGCTTAGACACGGCGGCACAGCTGGAGGCCTATTCCAGAGTCTTCAGCCCTTCCTATGAGTTGTGACCAAAGGGACCTACTTACAAGACAAAATGAAACCAGGCATCTGACAGGATAGACTGCAGATCGGAGGGTCTCAGCAGGAAAATGGCAATGCCCTGGAGTCAACAGAAAAGACAAGCTTAACCCCCTTCCTGCCCTCACTCAAGGCTCTAGGAAGTACTGCCCCAGTGGAGATTCTGGGAGGACTCTGTATCTGACAACTCAGCCAGGGGTGGGATTTGGAAGCTGGCCTGTGCCTGGAGAACATCACTGAGCCCTCCATGAGGGTGACCCCTCCCACAGGCTTCTTACTCTTATCCTATCCTCAGCCCACAAATCACAAAGCCACACAGTTACTATAGCTACCCACCAAATGTGGCCTAATTTTCCAGCCTCTGAGCCTTTGTGCCTGCTGCTTCTCATGGCCTCCCTGCCCTGTCCTACCATACTGACAAAGGTTCCATCCCTGCTCCCACTCCCAGACAAGTCATCTCCCTCCCTCTAAACACTGTTCTGACCCACCTTACAGTCTAAATGCTTGTGCCCATTAGAAAGCTGAGCTAAAGAAAGGCTAACTCCCTCCATCCTGTCACACACACTTTCCAGGGTCCCAGGTACAAAGGGCTCAAAGTCTACAGGTTGATTCATCGGCTGGTTGAAAGGGTAAGCAGGAAGGTACATGAGTGAGCGAGTGGATGGATGGATGGACCAACAGATAGGGAAAATGATTGGCTAAAGACCAGAAGTATGATGCTGAGATTGTGTCGGATTTGGAATGGATGAATGAGTGACTGGGTAGATGAAAAAGGCAGGTGACAAAGTGGTAGAAACAAGAAGGAAGAATAAGAGCCGGGTGGTGGTGGTGGCGGTGGTGGTGGTGGTGGTGGCGGCAGCGGCGGTGGCGGCGCACGCCTTTAATCCCAGCACTCAGGAGACAGAGCCAGGCGGATCTCTGTGAGTTCGAGACCAGCATGGACTACAGAGTGAGATCCAGGACAGGCACCAAAACTACACAGAGAAACTCTGTCTCGAAAAAACAAACAGACAAAAAAAAAAAAAAAGGAAGAATGATGGACACAGAGTGGCATGAAGGATATGTACATGGTGGACAACTCAACAGATGAACGGAGGAGGGATTGGAGCAGATAGAATAGGCCTGTTTTATTCATTATTCTCTGTACTATAACTTAGGAATCTAAGGCCTAGAAAGGAAATACCTTCCTGAAACCCCTAAGTAGTAGCAATACAGGCTGCAGCAGAAGCCAGCCCTGCTCCCACCTTATTGGCCTCAAGGGGCAGTCTAGAAGAAATGCACTCACCTCTTTCACGGAGATGCATGTGGCCCAGATAAGAACAAACATCCTCCCTAGCAGTTGCAGCCAACTCATCTTGTGTGCCAGGGCCAAGGGGTGTGGGAGGTCCTGGGGAAGAAAGGAAGAGAATGGTAAAGATGAGGAATGGGAAGGGAAGGGCAACACTAGCTCTGGAGGAACCAGGCTGTATATGCATGCTGGACCTTCAAGATGGACCAGAGGCCCATCTCCTGGCCCTGCCTGCCCCACCCTCAGTGAGAACCCAGAACTTTGCAGTGAGAGGGACAATGCTCTATTTGCTAACAACCCATTGCATGGTTCTTTCTAACCATATCCACTACCAGACACTCAATGTGACCTCCTTCCACAGTTCAGTGAAGCTGAGACTCTGCACTCCACTAACAGATGGGAAACTGAGGCCCAGAGTAGCAGGAAAGTTTGGCAAAGTAACTTCTCCTCCACCCACTTCCTGTGGGCCTCACGGCAGATACAATGTATTCTAGACCCACATAGAAAGCCTGAAAGGGCCTGGAGCTCCTTATTCCCCAACTCCCTCCCAGTATTCATCACCCTAGATCTGTTCACCTACAGCTTGGCTAACTGTTCTGTTCACTGAGAACTTTGGAGAATAATTGACAGACACCATGAAAATCCCTTAGCCTCTCTGGGCCTCAGTTTCTCCATCCCCACATGAGACACTTCCAAGATCCTCCACCTCAGACCTTTCCACCCACCACCCCATCCCTAGGACTCCCATACCTCATCATCCCGGGGTCGGTAGTAAGAGACGAGGGTCAAGGTGATATTGTAGAAGAAATAGAAACAGAAGGACAAGAAGAACATGTACTTGGCAAATTTCTTCCACTTCATATGCAGCAGCGTGTGCAGGGGCTCCAGGGTCAGCATCTCATGCCGGTTCTGGGGATAGAACACCCCGTGGAGATGAGGCAGGCAGAGAAGGACCGTTTTCAAAGGGCCCATCAGGAGCCCAGAGTCAGCAGGGCCAGTGGCAGAATGCTCCAGTCATCGGGAGCAATGGACTATTTGATGGAAATGTTGGAAAGGTAACTTCCAGCTCCCATGGCTCTTTTTGGGGCAGTCAATGCTCAGGGGCAGGTGAGGGGGGCACTGAGGCTTCTGACAGGAAGAGCTGCTGCACACTGGACTGGAGACTAGAAAGGGTCCCAGTATCCATCCCTGTGACCTTAGGATGCCTCCTGAGCCTTTCTCGACTTCACCTCTTCACCTCTTCATCTATACCATAACCCTTACCCACCCTGCCAAACGGGCTGCTGTGAGGGTCCAGGGGGCGTCTGGGGAGTAGGGTTGTTGATAAAAATACAAAGGATGGAACCTGGCCCTCTGCCTCACTCACCCCATGGACTGAAAACTGTCTGAGCTGATCCTCTGTCTTCGCCTCCAGCTTCACTAGCCTTCCCTCTCCCACCTCCTCCTAAAAGGGTCCAGATTGCTCCAGCTAGTGAGCACTCTCTGGCTTCATGTGTATTCAAGTCTAGAGGAATAAAGAATTCTAAGCTAGACCATATAGATGAGTTAGACCATATAGATGTACAAGATCAATACTACACACCTCTTCATTGCCTCCAAACTGCCCAGGATTCTGAAGCCAGCCCCTCACCCTTAGCTCTACTATTCATTGTGGGCCAGAAACAAAAGAGCCAGCTTCTGCTTGGACCATACCCTCAATGCCAGACTCCACCAAGACAAATCACCAATATGGGGCTTAGGGGACTCTGGCACAATTCCTCCCAGGGTCCCTAAGCCCTGACCTGGAGTCCACCCCTCACTCCTTGTCCCTGCCAATCTGCTTGGGAGACCCACGTCAATGTTGGTGTTGTAGACAATGATCTCCAGCACTGAGTTATCTGTCGTGGTGTCTACGTTGGTGAGGTCATAGAGCGAGGATGACACAGGCCCATATGCCCAGTCTGTGAACTTCCTGGACAGGCTCCGGAGAGGCTTCTCCTTAATCTCACGACTGAGGATGTACTTCAGGATCTGGAGTGGAAAGAAGGACAATGGGGCTTGGGGACAACAGGGCTGGACCAGCCAGAGGCAGGTCAACCCAGAAAATGTTCCTACCATAAACAGTATGAGTGCCACCTCTGCCTGGAGCCATGACCCTGGGTTCCAGCTGTGTCTGCGAAATGGGAGTGAAGTTCACAGTTCTTGCCTTCTCATGGGGAACCAGAGTATGAGAGCCCTTTGCACACTGCAGAAAGCCAAACCATCAGCTAGTAGGTCCCCAAACCAGCTGGGCTCCAGTTCAGGAAAGAATCCAAGAACTGACCATTTTTAGAAATAATCTCCTGAACTTGAAGCTCTCGGTTCCTCTGCTCTCCAGTCCACCCTCAGTCTAGACTCTACAGCCAGGCTCACCACTCTGGCTGGACAAGCTGTGACATCAGGCACCAGCCTTCACAAAGAGGCCCATGGTGCCCACTCTGTAGGTCAGTGGTCCCCAAAGTCGACTGTATGTTAGGATCTCAGGGGAGTTTTTCAAAACACAAAGTCAATTGCTAAAACTCTGGAAGCAGGAAGAAACCTGGAAACGATTCTGTGAAGCTCTCTGGGTAGGTCCCCTGTGCAGGAGGGCCATTGCTTTCCATCATCCCACTTTCTGAAAGCTAAGCCATTGATGACCCTAAATTGGAGATAGAGCACCAAGGGGTATGAACCTACAACCCAACAAAAGGGACCTGTTAGGAGGACAGCACCAGTGTGTGAATCTCACTCGGCTCCTCACATTCCCACTGCATCTCCCGTCACAGCCAAGCAGACAGCTCCTAGACCCCAGTGGGTAAAAGCCCCAAGGGTAGGTCTGTGGCTTCAGCATTGCTGTGTCCTCCACTCCCAGTCTGGCAGCCGCCTTGGGTGACATCCAGGAAAGTTTCCCACAAGCACTGAACAAAGGAGAGGACTCAGGAACCTCCCTGGTGGGTATCTCCCTGAGACTAGCCTGGATGAGAGCACGATCCCCTAGAGCAGCTGTTCTCAACCTGTGGGTCAAGGCCCCTTTGGGGTTGCATATCAGATAGATATATTGCGAATCATAACAGTAGCAAAATTACAGTTATGAAATAGCAATGAATTAATTTTATGATTGAGGGTCAACACAACATGAGGAACTATAAAAGGCTGCAGCATTAGGAAGGTTGAGAACCACAGCCTTAGAGCGTCTCTTCAAGATGTATCTTCCCAGCCAGGCAGTAATGGCGCACACCTTTAATTCCAACCCTCGAGAGGCAGAGCCGGGCAGATCTCTGTGAATTTGAGGCCAGCCTGGTCTACAGAGCGAGATCCAGGACAGGCACCAAAAGTAAGAGAAACCTTGTCTCAAAAAAACAAAACAAAAAACAAAAACAAAAGATGTCTCTTCCCTGGGCTGGGTAGCAGGGAGCCCAAATGAGACAGTGGCATGCAGGGAAAAGCTCATGGAAGAAACTAGACTACACAAATACCCTCTGGCTCTCTTTAGAGCCCATACAAAAGCTATGACCCTGGGTAGCAGGACAGGGCGGGGGGGGGGGGGGGTCAGACATACAATTCTCCCTTTGTTAAAGCCGTTTCCATCTCCTCCCCCTCAAGGGAATAAAAAAGTCCCTTGTGAGCTCCAGCCCTGGCCTGACCTCAGGGCAGCTGACTAGGAGACGTAGAGGGTACACAGCTGGAATTGTTCAATAAGTGCCAACCATCCAGTGTCCTCCCACAGCCTCCCAGGAACCACAGTCCCCTCCCAAGATCCGTCCCCTCAGAAGAAACTTGATCTCAGCCAAGCCACAGCTCCAGCCACAGATAAACAAAACATATCAGCCCGGCCCAGCCCAGGTCTTCCCAAGGTGCTCAGATGAGCCTAGAGTTCTTTGACCACATCACACAGGCAAAGGGCTCTGCTGGAGAAGAGGCTTGACCAACAGACTAAGGTCCTTCTATTGCCAGGGAGCAGAAACCATTGGCTGTGGACCCAGAGTGGCCATTCTGGAGCCACAGAAGAGGCAAGCCTGAAAAAACAGACACACAGCCTGTGGTTGAGCATCACCATTCAGGAATGCTCAACCACAAAGCACCTGAGATATTGCATCACCTCGGCGTTAGGGATTCCCCAATCTGGCCTCCCTGAGGAAGTCCCAGAAAGAGAGACTGAGCTCCAGAGTACAGGACTGATGTCCTAAGCATGGAGCCCATGCTGGATTTCACTGAGCCATCACTGCATTTTTAGACCTAAGCTGGGGCCTTTCCAGGGTTAAAGCTGGAACCTGTGGGATCCTCAGAGGGGCCCCAGGCTGACAGAGGGGCAGCTGTGCCTCCCCAGTCCCCACCCCTGCTGCAGGGCCCCACCTCAGCCTTGCCCATCTTGGCAGCCAGCTGCAGCGGCGTGAGTCCATCATTGTTGCGCATGGTCTCCAGCTCCCAATTGCCACTCCTCAGCAGGATCATATCATACATGCGCTTAACAAAGTCATTCTGGGTCTTGAAGTCCTCAGCCACTGTCACCAGCGCATGCAGGATATTGTTTCCCCGAGAGTCCTGGGAGGTGATGTCCGTCTGCTCATTCTCCATCAGCAGCTGCACAATCTCGGGCTGGTTGGTACATGCTGCCAAGGCCAGGGGTGTCTCACCTGGGGAAAGGAGGCTCAGAGTTCAGTCCTTTCACAGGCCAAAAGCAATACCCTCCAGGCCCCAGGACCAGAGTTCCAGATGCTGACCTTCACAGCAGCACTGATCCCCGAGGTTCCCTGACCACCGACCACCTCCCCTTGTTCGGTAAAGACTGAAGCAAGATCACACCGGTGGCCGGCCACGAGCTCTCCCTGCTCCCCACTAACTTTCCAACATTCTGCTTAGCAGAGGAGCACAACAATCCAGTTGGGTCCCCGCTTACCCAGAATGAAGGCTCTAATTCGGGTACAACCTGGAAAGTCTTACATGTTTTGCCCTCTCATCCTCTCAGCCACGCCCACACCTCTCCAGGCACAGTAGCCTCCTTTCTTCCAACATGGGACATTTTCTAACCTTGGGGCCTTTGCATAAGCTGTTCTTGCTTCCTGGGGATACTCGGCATGGCTTATCCCGCCTTTGTTCAGATCCCACCTTTTCACTGGCTCACTTTAACCACCCCATTTACAATTGAGAAACCCTCCCGCCCACCTGGACAAAACTCCTGCTTCTTCCTCTGCCCTATTCCCACCTCTGCCCTCTCTTACTCCACCCAACAAATGTTTCTCAACTCTGGCTGTAATTAGGTCCTGTGCTGGGCAATGAGGACACAAGAATGACTGAGTAAGAAGTCCTCAAAGATGCCCAGGCTCATCTAGTCCTGCTGATTAAAAAGCCAGAGGTGGGGGGTTGAGGAGATAGCCCAGTGGATAAGAGTGTTTGCTGTACAAACATGAAGAACTCAGTTCAAATCCCCAGCCCCCACAGAAAAGCTGGGCATGGTTGCTATGGGGGCAGAGACAGGCAGTTTGCAGGGGCTCACTGGCCACCAGCCTAGCTGGTGTCTCAAGGGGAGAAGATGAAAGGTAATACAGAAGGACACCAGATGGCCTCTGACCTCTGCACACACATGACTTACACCACACACATACACATGTAAACTACACATACACACAAAAAAAAGAGAGAGAGAGAGAGAGAGGGAAAAAAGAAAGGCAGGCAGTAGTGACACACGCCTTTAATTCCAGCACTGGGGAAGCAGAGGCAGGAGGATCTCTGTAAGTTCGAGAGCCTGATCTACAGAGTGAGTTTAAAAAAAAAAAAAAAAAACAGCAGAGCAGAGCAGTGACAGTCAGGCCCAGTGGAGCTTCCTATTGCCTGTCCTTACTGTGATGGTGGTAATATGTTTATAAAAATAACAGAATCATACACTAAAATGGGTAGATTTCACTATACCTAAGTTACACGTCTCTTTTTTCCTAAACCCAGAGAATCTGTAAAGGCAATGTGAACATTGTCAGAAGAGAGGGAAAGGCATTTGTGTCTCTCCTCCCACTAACACCAACACACACACACACACACACACACACACACACACACACACACACACACACACACCATACATACACACACATGCACAGTCTCACACACAGAGAGAGATACACATGCAAACACACACGCAAACACCAAGAAAAACAAAACACTAAATAAAGTCAGGAGGTTGTGAAGGAAGGACATTATAGGCATTATAGCCGAGAGTATCTACCAGAAAGTTCCAGAACCTCAAGTTTGCAGAGGTCACAACCTTACACTAACGGCACCTCTCTAAGGACATCTATCGGGTACACACAACACAACTGCAACTGCTTTTAGGTTTCTGACGGGGTTCTCCCCACTCACGCTGCCCAGCCTGGACAGATGTCACCCATCTCTGCCTTACTATTCTTGGGCAGGTCACTTTACTCCTCAGCCCAATGTCCTCACCTGTATAACGGCTATGTCCTTCACACCCTTTTACACACACACACACACACACACACACACACACACACACACACACACACCAAGTATTTGTTCCCTGCAGATGTGACCCCTTCCGCTAGAGGGTCACACTGTCAAGCAGGCTCTTCCACCCTAGTGGGCCTCTCTGGAGGTGTTCCCGGTGATCCCTCTGGGATGGGTCAGCACCAGTCCGGTCTGTGATCCGCAGAAGAGGACTCCGTGTTTCAGTGCCCACCTCCACCACCACCCCCCACCCCGCCCCGTCTTTCAGTACAGGGCTGGTTGCAGCGGAACTCAGGGCAGGAAGTCCCTTCTCCTCTCCCTTAACCCTGGCGATGTCACCTACCGAAATAGAAGCCTTCGTGCTGGTATTTGGGGTTGAAGAAGACACCCTTGGCATGCGCGTTGACGTCAGCGCCCGCTGCTATGAGCACCGCTGTGATGTCTCCCTGGCGCCGCTCAATGGCGATGTTCAGCGCTGTCTGCCCTGAGAACAGAAAGGGCACGTGCACTCAAAGGCCTGGAGCAACCTAAGCTGACCCTGGAGCCCCTCTCCCCAGGTAGCAGTAGCTGACTGAAAACACTAAGGGTGCAGATACTGTGTGGGGGACACCATGTTGGCGGCCAGCTGGGTTCTGGGAAAGCAAGGATGAGCGGCACCCCACCATGGAGAAAACCAGGGCAAGGATGCCCATGACCTCCTGCAAGTCTAACAGCAAGGGGATGGCAGAGAAATCAAAAGACTAGGAGAGGCTGAGAAGGAAGAGGATTTGTGGCCAAATCAGTCAATTCCATGCCCATCTTGGGGCTCTTCCTCTGAGCTTGCTCTGGATTCTTCCCATCAGGTAGACTCTGGGTCAAAACACAATTGCTCACCCCAGTCACTCCCTGTCGCCATTATTTCCATTCCTAGTAGTCTGTCTAAACTTGCCTTTTTAGAGCATTGCCGTTTCCTGACTTGTCCACCCCTGCTCAGCATTATTCACAAGGAAAAGGAAGGATGAGAAGTGTGTCTGCTGCATATCATAGCCAAAGTGCCTCTGTGTAGCAAGACTGGCGTGGCTCTGTAGCCACACTCACCTCGGGAAATCCCAACCTCTGTCCCTTGCCCTTAGGTTGCCTCTGCCTACAGGTACCTTCGTAGGCCTCTTCCGTGTACTCGGCGTTGATGAACCTGTCCAGGATGTCGTTCTCCTCAGCGAAGGCAAGCAGAATCCGCACGATCTCTTTGGTGTTGGGGTTGATGTTGAGCAAAGCTTTCATCAGGCAGGTCTTCCCGGTGTCTGAGGCTGTCAGCTTGTGCATGAGGAAGTCTGCAGACGGAGTCAAGGATAAAGGCAGGGATGGGAAGGGCTGGCTGCCCTGGGCCTCCCAGACAGAACAAGGTGTGAGAGCTGCAGCCTCACACCTCAAAAGCATGCCCTCTACCCTGCACTGGGGGGCCCCAACCCTGTACTACCTGGCACTCTTCCTTCCTCTCCCTAGCCCCTCCTCCAGCTCCCTTCTGGGTTTGTTGTTCACAGATCTCTACCACCTATGAAAGCCTCATCCAGCACCCCGCTGCTCTTTGACCTTTCCACCTTCTCTCTGGAGGGGAGACAATGTCACCTGCTGCCTGGCTTCCCACAGCCCATGTTTGTGCTGAAATCTCCATCCTACCCCTTCTCATGGCCTAAAAGTTAGCTCATCACCTCCTCATCAACCTGCTCCTCACCTTGATCCTCACCCAGCTGTGAACCCCAAAATCCTTCAATTCCTGTCAATCAATGCCTGAGGAACTCTCCAGAACTCTTCCCCCTCTCCCAGGCCTGCTTCAGGGTCCCAACGCTGTTTAAATAGCAACTCTCTCCAGATTTACTCCACCCTACAGCCAGACCATGCCTTCTGCCTGCCTAAACCCATCCATACTCCCCATGGCCCTCTCAGTCAAGCTCAAGGCTGCTATGCCAGTATCCAAGATGCCTCACCCTCCAGCCCCACCAGAGATGGAGCAGGGGCCAAGCCAAACCAGCCAGGGTCCCCAGGACCTGCACCCTGTACCAGGGCTGGGCACTGACCAGGCACATCCAGGCCGCGGCGCCGCTTGCAGAGCTCTTGCAGCTCCTGCAGCAGTTCCCACAGCTCCTCCACGCAGCCCTCAGACACAGCCGCGAAGATGCGCTTCTTCAGCCGCTTCTTCTTCTGCCTCTGTTCTTCCTTGGCCAGGTTTGCGCTGAGACCAGAAGGCACTGTGAATTCACCCCGCATTTGCTTCGACTCCTACCCTCTTCCCCTCCACCACCAGAGCTGCTGGCCTCCAGGCCACTGCTCCAACTCCTGTGTCTTTCGTGTCTTAGGGGATGCCCAAGTTTGTGTTCCGTGTTGCCTGATCAGGTTCCCATTCCAATCTCTATGCAATCACATTGATCAAAATACGCCTGCATGCACACGGGGATGATCAAGAAGGACATATACCTATCGTAGCCGTTACTTTGGAATATTGGAACTAAGGGAAGAGAATACTTCGGTTCATCTCCCTATCTGAACGTTTCCATCTATCCCTCCCTGCCTCCACAGTCCATCGGCATAGACCATCTCTGGAATGTAGATGTACCTCCTTTAGTCTGTATGTGCCCTTGCAAAAATGCATACTGATGTTCTGTGTGAATGGATTCTAAGACCATTGCTGGAATGTAGATGTACCTCCTTTAGTCTGTATGTGCCCTTGCAAAAATGCATACTGACGTTCTGTGTGAATGAATTCTAAGTTTATGTAGTTGTATAACTTGTGCTAAAGTCCTTATTCTCCTGTGTGTTGTTTGGATGTTTTATGATGAACAAATAGCATTTTATAATTTACTGATATTTCACCCTTCTCCACAAAATGTCACATGCCACAACCATGGCCCAGACTTCCAGCTGTTTGTCCCAACTCCCCGGGGATGATGGTTTCTGTCTCTTTCCTGTGCAGCCCCTCCCTGTGACACCTCCCCTTGCTGAGAACAGGGAGATAAGTGGGAGGGCCGCACTGACCTTGGGCTGTTGGGATTGGATGGGGTCTCTGTCACATCGTCCTGAGGAGACTGAGGGGAGTCCATGTCATCACAATTGCCAGAGTGGCTGGAGAGGGAAGAGAGGGAGGAGAGCAGGACAAATTTAGAAATATGCAATGCTACCATGCCATAGTCAGGCCCAGCCACGTGTCCAGGCCAGCAGCCAGTACTCACCACTGCCGGATGTTGGAGTCCATTGGCTTGGAGAAGATGGGAGGAGAGGTCTTGGTGACTGTGGGGTTGGGGTCAAACCCTTCTATCTCCAGGAAGAAGTGTGCACTGAGGGGACATCCAGTCAAGACCATTAGAGCTAGGGCAGGGCCTATGTGTCCTGCAGCCTTGCCACAGATGACCCACCCATACTAAGCCCTCAGCCTGTGTGCCTGTGTCCTAGCCTAGCCCTCGGGGATGGAGTAGACTCTGGGTTCTAAGCTGAGTCTGAACAACTCTTGTCTCTAGAAGTACCATATGGATGAACCCAAGAGGCTCACTGAGGATGGTGCAGCACCTAAGGATCTGCAGCTGTACCCAGGTATCAGGTCCTTCAAAAGTGGGAACATGGCAGGAGCTGGGTTTCCCATTGCCATCCAGTTTCTCCTAAAACCTAGGCCCAAAGGCAAAGCCTTTTAGAAGGGGTCCCTCGACTCAAATCCAGGCAGACCTTGCAGCAACTTAAGGGAGAGGACCAGAGTTACTCTGGCTGCTCTCGTTGCCCATTAATCCCTTTGCCAGAACAGAAAATGAGCTGAGAAAGCCAGTCAAGGGCAGAGAGAACTCAAGGGGCCGTCAGCCTCGGTATCCCCCACCAAGAAGAAAACCCCAGACCAGACATGGTAATATATGCCCTTAATCTCATCACTCAGGATGCTGAGTCAAGAAGATCATAGGTTCAAAGCTAGCCTGTGCTACATAGCAGGACTATCTCTAAATAAAATAAAATAATATATCATGTGAGAATGGCTATCATCAAGATGACAGGCGACACCAAAGGGTGTCAAGAATGGGAGTGGTTGAGAAAAGAGCCCTTCCATGCCGCTGTAAGGAATGCAAAATAGTGAAGCCTCTCTGAGAATCAGTATGGCGGCACCTCAAAAGTAGAACTTCATGTGACCCAGCTATACGATCTATAGATCTATAGACCTATAGCAAAAGGAACCCTACACGGACACCTGCAAGTTCATGTTTAAGGCATCACTATTCACAACAGTCAAGTCACAGAGTCAGCCTAGCTGCCCCCCCCCCCCCACATGAACAAATAAACTATGGTATTTTATAAAATGATATTCTCTTCAGCCATGAAGAATGAGATTCTGTATCATTTTCAGGAAGATGTATGGAACAGCCTGCTAAGTGAAATAAGTCAGCCTGCTAAGTGAAATAAGCCAGACTTAGAAACACAAAATACCGTCTTTTCTCTCCTACGTGGAAGATAGAAAAGGGACACAAAACTACAGGTGAAAATGCCGGGGATCTAGAAGGATAATGGTAAAAGGAGAAGGAATAAGAAAGAATAAGAAGGGTGGCTCAGTGGTTAAGAGCACCGACTGCTCCAGGAGGCCCAGGTTCGATTCCCAGCATGCACACGGCAGCTCACAACCATTTGTAACTCCAATCCTATGGGATCCTGTACCCTCCCTCTTCTGGCTTCTGTGGGCATTTCACACACGTAGTGTACAGACATACAAAGTAGGCAAAACACCCATACACATAACAATATATATTCACATACAAATAAATAAATGTTCAAAACTATTTTTTAGAAAAAGAAAAGGTAACCAGAGGGGAGAATATGGTCAAAGCACATGATGTGCATTGCATGAATGTCATAATGAAGCCCTAACTTTGTGCATTTGATATATACTAGCAAAAAAAAGTGAATTTTTAAAAGGAAAAAGAAAGGAGGGAGGCCCAGAAAACACTGCCAGGCAGTGAAGGAGAGAGACAAAGCCACGGCCAGCTTTCTCCTCAGGCTTCAAGGGAATGGAAGACACACATTACCAGACACTCTACCCAAGACACACCAGCACAGTCAGCCACACCCACAAATGCCGATACACGTGACCTTGGACACCACAGTCACACACTGGGAGATGAGTCTTCTGGTAACATTAAGGTGAGGATCAGCTGAGGGTGAGCTCAGATGCAGTCCATCCAACCCTGCAGCTGCTGCAGCACAGACCATGTGACCCATCCAGAATGACCCTCCTGACAGCAGGCACACAGCATTCCTAAACACCTTTGCTGCCTGAGTCTTTCCAAGGCCCAAAATGGAGGATGTTCCAAAGTGCAGTTCCTCCCATCTCAAGTTAAGAAAGAAGAGTAGCAGGGTGTGATCAGAGTCCCAGTCTACAGGCAAGGCGTCTAAGGCTAAGGATGAGTAAGCACCTCCCCCTAGGGTAGACTCGAGTTGGCCATAGGACCTGCTTCCTGAAGTCCAAGCTAATGACTGACACAGTGATGCACATTGCTCTGCTCTCAGCTCGGTCTTCCTGGCCTGCTTCCAGCTGAATCCACTGCAAGGGGGTTACCTAAAAGGGGGCTACCCAATCAGGGCAGGCAGGAGAATCCTGGTTGACCTGGTAAGTCCCTCTCCTCACTTTAGACACAGACAAACCTAAAGCTTATAATAAATCCATAAATGGGGCAGAGGACACATTGGCCTTCCCCCTCCTGACTTCTGACCATCAAAGAGGAGCTTTCTTCCAGGCATGGTGGCTCACACTATGGAGTACTCAGGAGGCTGAGGCAGAAAGATTGTTCAAGGTTAGTCTGGGATACAGGGGATACCTATTGAGGGGAACAGGGGAGAGAGAAAAAGAAAAAGGAAGGGAGGCTAGCCTTATCTAAAAGCAAATGCTTCAAACAAACAAACAAAAAAAAACATCAAAAGAGAGAAGGCAAAGAGAAGAGAAAACCTTTGACTGGGACCCAAAGCTTGGGTTCTGGTCAAGCTCAGCATCTGCCTCCAAGTGGGTACTTTCCATCTTTGGACCAGGAATTCTCAGCAGATGGGATACTGGGTGAGATAATTCCCAGACACAAGGCAACCCTAAGACCATCCACTCATGGGCTGTCCAGCTGAAGTAGACCTTGAAGGTTAACCAATTAGGTTACCATACCCTGAACTATCACTCCAAAGCTGCCTCCACTCCACTATGGCGGCCTGACTCAGAAGTTCCAAGTACATCTACTAGAGGTTCGGCCTCAAGACATCCTGGTTGAGAATTGCCAGATTTTCTCCATAGAGAGCCCCAAACCCACACATGTGGATTTTCTCCAACAAAGTTTGGTCTGGTCATCCCTTGAGCCTACCCTGCCCCTGAAGCTGCTTCAGCAAATGCTTATCAAGTTCCTACAATGTGCCAGGCACTGGTCCTGTGGCTATGATACAGGGAGACTCCCTTCTTTTCCAGATCTGCAATTCCAATGGGTTGATCAAAACTGACTCCAAGGTAAGACCAATGTACCACACAGATGGGTCATTTGGTCCTTTGCTCTGGACAATACGGTCATTCAGCTGTAAGTTTCCCAACAGCAAGGACTATAATGATATTATCTTTGATTTTCCAGAATCAACTTTGATTTCCTAACAGTGGTCCTGGTACTCAGAAGATCCCACTGAATAGATGTATGAAAGGATAGGTGAGGAGTGAGACATATTCAAGTGGAAGGAATAATGGTTGGTCAGACAAAGAACAGATGAGTTAATAGATGAATAGTGGGTAGACAATAGAATAATGGAAGAATGGGTAGATGGATGGATGGATGGATGGATGGATGGATGGATGGATGGATGGATGGATGGACAGGTAATAAGTAATCAAGTAGGTAGATAAGGTGGAGAGGTCTGTGGATACGATCAATGCTCAGACATTCAACACAACCTTAAACTGTCAATGGTGGAGGCTAAATCCTTCCTGGCTGTGCTCCCAGCTGCTGAAAGCTCTCACCTTTTCCCGCCCCTCCTCAGTCTCATACACAAAGCTGAAGTGGGGTCTTTTGCCACTCCTCCACGGAGTCCCCTCTTCTCAAGGGTTCCTCAAGAGATCAAGAATGACACAGAAAGCCATATCATGTAAGTATTCAGCACCCAGGTCTAAAGCTGAGGGCCATACAGAAGGGGAAAGCATCATCTCACCATGCAATGATGTCACTGGTGCTGAGCTTCTGGACAGCTTCCTCATTGGCTCACACAATCTCTTCATTGCCTTCCTGATCCCTCGTCTCCTTCACTTACTCAAGACTAATCAGTTGTCCAGTGTATGGAACTGAGGGGATAGGACAGGGATAATTGCCCCTTCCAGAGACCCCATCCTCAGAGATGTCGACCAGGGCTAACACATACGTGTCCCAGTGACCACAACAGTCTCTCCAGGGGGTTATAGGAGCACGAGAACAATGCAGGCCCTTATAATCGAGGACAGGAATTAGAAGCTCTGTGCTGTGCTAACTGGAGTACAGTCTGGATATTGAAATATGCCTCTGGTTCTAGAAAAATCTTGAAGCAGAGAGAAGAATGAGAAATACCTCCTGGGCTGGAAAGGAAGTCTGTCTTGGAAAAGGAAAGCTTTGGAGCCCAGAGAACAAGATGTGGAGACAGGAGTGATGACAGCTAGGCTGGTGAAGACCAGGCCATTAGGCAAGAGCCTAACTCACGAGGCAGGGCCTGACCTATCCCTGCCCTACTTGACACTACACAACCACGTCCCACCCACTATCATAAGCACATGGTAAGGTCTGGACCACGTGACATCCTGGCTTCTGCCTGCTGCAAATGCTCATGTTTATTCCTTTGGTCCAGGCCAAAGGGTGCAACCTGGGTGTGGTTGACACAGGTGCACAGACAGCTGTACATCATTTCTCCACCATTTCTGTCACTTTCGAGAGAAGACTCCAAGACCAGGAAGCAACCTAGAGCTAGGCAGGAGCTTGTCTAACTAACCATTGGCTTTGCCCAAGAAATGTCCAAGTGTCTAAACTCCCCAAGGCCAGCTCTCTGACCCTGTATGTCCCCTTGCCTAGGACCCAATAAGGAGGCCAATGTGGCAACTATTCAAGGAATGACATGGTGGCTCAGGAAAGCTCTCTCCCCTCTGTAGACCTGTAGACCTCCTGCCTTGAACTCTCCCATTAGTTCATAGCCTAATAGCTCATGATGACTAGCATTGTACTCTGTCTTCACATATAATTTATTCTTTTTCCTTTTTCTCTTTAGGCCCAAGTCTTATACTCATTTCTGAGGGAAAGACTCAAACCTTCACATGAGAATCCTCAGAGAGTCTGTGGGACCACCACTTCAGGAGACAAAAATCATACCTCATACCCTTGGCTGGGCCAGACAATCTTTGGTCACTAATTCTGAGCCTGTAACTAATTTCATGAACAGACATGGGCCTGATGTGGAAGAACCCAGGGTTTTCTTGAGAGCCTGTTCACAACCCTATCCCTATTCCCAAACCTCCCCTGGGAGGAGGAAGGAAGGAGAGCCAGAAAGATGGGTCATATTGACTTAGGTCAGTTGTGTTTCTGTTACTTCCTGGATTGGTCCATGAAGATCAGGCTGCCCCCACTCACATGCCACCTGCCTCACCCTACTTCCTCCCAGCTTTCTCTCTTGGACTCCAGGGTAGAAGCTCTGCCTAGTCCTCTAGGCACCTCTTACTTGGTACTTCACATACGACCTTGGCTCACCATTCCTGCCCTTGCTCCTTTGGTGGGCTCTTGATCGAGGTAACCCGCCATCCTTCTGAGTTACTCCAGAGGAAGGGTTTATCTTACGGCTCTTCCTTCTCCCTTCCTGCCCCTGGAAGATCCCATGACTAACTCCACTCTCATCCATCTCTTCCTCCATCCCTGACTACCCAGGCTCAGACCTTACCACCTATTACCTGACTCTCGACAGCTTCCTCAAGGTCTCTTTGTCCCCAGTCTTCCTTCTTCCACATTGTCCACATGGGTCATCCAAAGCCACATTTCCAAAATTCCTATCTCCCTATCCCTCCTTCAGGAAATCACCCTGAGACTCCCCCACTCCTCCCAAGATCATCTGTGTACTTTAACAGATCCCCCAACACCTGGCCCTAATAGGATTTATCTCCCTATGGCTCTTCTACCCTCATGGCACTTCAGCTACTAAAACTCCTTAGACCCTGCTCTCAGCCTTCATTCTCATATCCTACCACCCAGCATACCCTTCCTGTCAATTCCACCTACCAAAGCCCACTCTTACATCACCTCCCCTATGAAGAGCTCCAGACTCTCCACAGGCTCAGAATGACCTGTCCCTCCTCAGTCCGCCTCTGCCATGATTTATTTTACTTACTCCAGACACTTCTCGCATTCTCCTTTGTGCCCCCCAACTCCAGGCTATGAGCAAGAGGGGGTGTTCTTTATCTCAGTGTTAAGTTGTCTGTCTCCTGATAGACAGGAAACTTCAGTGACTCTGACTTTAACCAACAGGCCAGCAGAAGAAACCACGTTCTCCAATGGCCCAAGAGGAAGGCTGGAGTTGGGGCAGAGGAGGCAGGGCAAATGAACCATCCTAGACTGCAGACCACCCTGGGCCCAGGGAAAGCATAGCTGAACTATGTGTAGCTTGGCCCAACTGAGAGGTACCTAATCAATCAAAAAGATCAGCCATGGAGATCTAGAAGTCTGTTCTCTGTCCCAGCATCCTCAACTTAGAAGTGGGACAGAACCACTCCAGCCTGCCCAGCTCCCAGGAGCCCCCATACTGTCTATCAAAGTCAACACACACTGTGCACTGATCCCCCTGACTGTGCTAACCACTTTGCAACATAATGGCAATTAACTGTGTCTTATAAGTTGGTGTCCTTAGCAGTGTCTTCATATAGAGATCCTGCTTGACACAACTCTAGCCATCTCAATCACAATCTCCATTTTTCCCACCAGATGACCGTGCCATGCATCGGAAGCCCTACAAGACACATAATCATTACAATAACTAAAGCTGAACATGGAGCTACACATCTGTAACCCCAGCACTCAGAAGGCAGAGGATCCTAAGTTCAAGACTCTCCTTGGCTATGTATCAAGTACCAGACAAGCCTGAGAAACATAGCAAGATCCTCTCTCAAATGAAAATAGTCAGCCAAGGGTATTATGTGCCCAGCTTATTAACTGAGAATGGCCATGAGAAAAGCCAGGTATATTCTGGTTAGCTACAGCCACCTTTATCCAGCTTAGCCCAAAACATCTACCTCCTTCCTTGCATGCCAGAAGTCTCCTGTTTTGCTGCCCCCCAAAGTACATTTTTTTTTCTGTAAGTTCCCAGTCATTTATACTTTGCACAATACTGAATCCATCTCATCGTACCTTCTTCCTCCCCAGGTTTTCCCAATACAATCCATTATACAGACTTGATTTCACAGTAGATTGAAAGCTACTTGTATAGGTGAGAAAAACATGCCCAGCTGAGGATCTAGACTACCTAGAATGCCACCCACCTTTTACTCCTGTTCCCAAGAACTGCTTGGCAACCCTTACCCCCCTCCCAAGAGCCTCCCTGAGTGTTCTTACTTCAGTTCCTCCATCCCCTCTAAGGAGACGCCATCCCTGTGCCAGTCATGAGAACCTCAGCAAAGGCACCTGAATATTCAGTGTTGCGCCCCACCCCCAAGTTATACCCAGCCTGTCATCAGGCCACCCCAAATGACAGAGTCTTGAGTCTATGGGAAACAAGGAATCCCTGGAGTGGGTGCCTCCAGTGCCCCACACTGTACAAAGCTCAGGCCTAAGCCTTCAGTCTTACTTCTTCTTGGTCGGGGTGAGATCTGCCGGCCTCTTCTCTGTCAGCACAACGGAGTTCCCGCTGGGTGCAGTGGTTCTTCTGCCCATGAGGGGCACCATCTCCTTGGAGTGGGCATTCATTGCTGTAGCACAAGACATATGCTGAGGTTGAGGAGGCAGGAGGTAACTTCTGGGGGCTTCAGACTCCCATGGGGTACCATCTACCTTCTGCCCATAACTCTCCAACAGGAAGCTCATTCCATACCTTTCCAAACTGTCAGCCTTTCTTGGGCACAGGCAAACTGTTCCTGCAGTTTCCATATCCCCTGCTTCCGAAGCCCAAGGAGAGCCCAGCATAGTGCCCAGGGAAGAAGCACCCAGCCTCCCGCCTCCCATCACCATCTCTAGCCCTATCACTCTCTGATAAACCTCTGAGACTTAACTGACTTTCTCAATGCCTCCCCGCAAGACTTTGTATTCAGATCTCTGTGTCAAGGTCACACTTCTTTGACCTTGACAGAACACCAATGTCACCTCCTTTTCTCCAGCCACTGCTCTAAATAATGCAGCTGGTGGAGTTCGGATTTCTCGGCACCTGCAGGTAGTCTCTGCAGCAGCTCACCCACTGTTACATCTCTTGCCTTCCCCACAAGCTAAGCACAGCCAGACCACGACTGGCACCCTGTCAGACTCCCTCTTGCTTAGAAGAAGCAGAGTCCCTTACCATGGGATACAGGAAGTCAACCCTTCAGTTCACAAACATGCTTCACTAATGGTCAGTATGAGCTGAGTTAGAACAAGGTGCTGTTCACACCCTCCAAGGAGACTGGGGAATGTATCTCAGAGGGAGGTTTAAAGACTGGGATTTGCACTAATGCCATCTGGGCTGGGGGCACAGCCTGAACAATCACCAGGTCTCAAGACAGCTCAGTGAGAGGCAAGGAGCCGGTGGAGCTGGAGACCCTGGATGAGTTCATGGGGATCGCCGGCAAGGAAGGGCTTGGCAACAAGTTGAGCCACATTGTGAAGCCCTCAAACAACTTGAAAGCAGAGATTGATGTCAGGGAAGCAGGGAACTGGGGAAGACTCCAGGTTACGTAGACAACATAGCCTGAAGGAGAACAGGCCAAGGATGTGGGAAAGACCAGTGTCCTGGGGACCAGGAAGAAGTTGTCATGGAGATCATGAGGAGGGGGAAGAGGCTGCTAGCCATGCAGAATAGGATAGATATGGAAAGGTAGTGTGGACAAGAGGTAACTTGGCAGTCAGGGGACCAACTGCAATTGAAGTCACTTTAGATAACTTACTTAGATACAGAAGTAACCCCCAGCCCCTGCCTACATCCATCACAGTCAGAACCAGATGGGTACCCTTTAAAGTGTGTCTCTACCCAAAGCAATCAGTCGACATATGGGGCTGGAAAGGCTTTGCTGGACCAAGAGCAAAAGTGGACAGAGGTGTGTCTCACCCTCCCTCATCCCCTGGTTTCCCTCCCGAGAAATAGCTGAATGGTCCCCAATAAGCCTGTGCCCCGACACCAACTGCTCAATCCTTCTTGTGCTAGTCCCATGAGCGTGGGCTATTCTGAACAGCTGGGGCAAGTGGGGGTCAGGACAATCTGGACTTGGGCTCCAGCAGCTATAATTAGCTCCTGAGTCATCCTGTATGCCTTGTATCCTCACCTGCTGGACTCTCTCCCTGCCCTGGGATCCAGATCCCTCACCCAGGAAGTATCATGTCACACCTGCCAAGGCCCAGACACTGATTGAAACGGCCTGTCCTAGGAACAGAGACCAGGCAGAGGCCACAGGGAGACCTCCATAGCTGCTACGTCAATGCCTGTGAGTGCCTGGGCCCTGTCTCTCTTCAGTGTTGGGATAGCTCATCCCATCTTGAACGCCCATCACATTCCTGCCATGGAGATTCACGACCCTAAGCTAGCTGAGGGAGACAAGCTCTAGAGTTTCTCTTTCCTTGGGATTCCCTAACATCAGGGGGAAGTTCCTGGGCCTGTCAGAGTCTACATTCTCTCCCCTGCCTGTTGTCAAAAACTGGCATGGCTTTTTACCCGTACTAGAACCCAGCTCTCCCGCCCATCCTCCTGAGGCCCATGGGCCAAGGGCAGACATCCCAGAGGATCCTAGGCCAATGCTCTAGTCTTTCTGGGGAATACTAGTTTCCCTAGGTGACAAGGACTTACTTGGAAGGTTCCAGGTGGTGGCGGCAGCCCTTGCTTTGAGATCACCGCATGTCTGGGGCCAAAAACCCACCGTCAGGAAGGTGGCTGAGGAGGTGAGAGGCTCTCATCATAGGCGCAGAGATAGCTGACAGCTGGAATGAAGCATCAGAGGCAGAACTGGCTGGGCCACCTGCCCTCGGCGCCAGGCAGGCCACACCCACCACCCACGTGCCCTACGTGAGTCACCCCCACACCCACAAAGCAGCCTCACCCCACAGGAGAAAAGGCAGGGAAGGCACTTGCTATGGCACAAAGCTGAAGGTCTGGTCCCAACCCTTCCCTCTCTTACGTTTGATGCTCATCAGGCGCCAATAGCCTCCGTTTCCCCACTTGGGAAAGGGGACCCATTGCAGAGAACTAACTGATCAAGGATGTCATGCCCAGGCAAAGATGACGGAGGTAAAGAAGTTTCATAGGTGCTCTGCTTTGATCCCCGGGAAGGAAGGCTGCAACCAAAGTCTATCCTGGGGTACCCAGGCCAGCTGTAAGACTTGATGTCCATCTTTCAAAAATAGTTCCTGGGATCAAGTCCCTCAGAGACAGAAGAAGTCCAATGTTTCCCAATAGCTGCATATTATGCATCACGGACTTTCATGTGTGACAACCTCACCACTTCCTGCCTCTGTGATCTTGGGCAAGTCATTTTTCCCAAGCCTGAGTTTCCTCGCCTGTCAAGCATACATAACCCAGCTTGGAAGGTAAAGAATAAACGAGGGAGCAAATGGAAAGGACTAGAACAAGGACCTAGAGTGCAGAAAGAATGCATGGCCTGTGACAGCTGGGAGGGCTGTTGTCACACCAATCTGTTCTCCCAGCAGCTGTCTGTGTCACTGTTCTCCAGGGCCAGGGCACTACAGGAAGACTCTGTGCCCTCCCTGCTCGCCCAAATGGCTTCTGGGGAAGGGGTGGAGCGGAGCCTGACTCAGGAGCCGCACACGTCCTTCTGCAGGGAAGATGTGTAGGCAAGGCATGACAGCGTTAGAATGGAAGTCCTTCTTCTGTGACAGTGCTATTGGCTGACGCAGCAGGGACTTTCCCGATTGTTCCCAAGAGGCGAGATCCTGGATCTCTGATAACTACAACTCCCCTGTCATGCCTGGGGAGATGGAATGAGGCAGGGTCAGCTCCTAGGCCGTGAGAGAGAAAGATCTGTGGCCAGAACAGGGCAGAGTGGGCTTCAGGTGTGGCTTTGATAGGGCGCTGCTCCTGCAGCCTAATCCATGGAAACCTACAGTTAGTACTCATGATTTCTCATCACTGTACCAGAAACATCACCATCAAAGCCCTACCTTCGATGAAATGCAGGCTCTTTTGTCCTCACTTGCCCAGGCCTGACTCAGCCTTGGCTTGTCTTTGCTTCTGATGTCTCAGAATCCTGGGCATGAGGCCATTCCGGGCTCTGTGTTGAAACTTCCCTTGATTTCACACTTTCCTCCAGCAACCGGCTGGAGACTAGCTTAAAAAATCCTTTATTGCTCACCCTAAGGCACGCTCTGTAGCAACAGTGGTTAGGGGAAGCCCCCTCTACTATAAGGATATGACCTCACAGAAACTCAGTGTAGCTCCAAGGGCTGGTCCATATTCAGTGTCATTGAATCTGGCCATCGTAAGACCCCTTACAAAGGAGGCCCCAGCAAGACACCAGTGAAGGATTCAGAACCTGAGAGTGTTATCCCTACCCTCAGGAAAATTATGGACCACCCAGAAGACCAGCTCCAACTGGGATAATCCCACCACAGGTGACAAGGACCAAATAAGGTGGGAGCATTTGGGCTGGAATTGGAAGAAAAGAAGCTTCATCAGCAGAGCATCAGACTCCTGAGACTCTGACCTGTTTCAAGGGGTGGTGACATGCCTCTGGCAATGTGTGGACTCAGCAAAGTGATCAGACATGGGGCTGAGATGCACTGAGTGACCCCAGGCTTCTAGGTCAACCCTGACCCCTTAGTCATCCAGAGTTGGGTTGGCCCCTGGCCAGTCATGGATACTGTCACCGCTGTAATCTAACAGGGAGCTGACCCAGGAGGACTGAACCAGAAGCGTGTGCTAAAGGCAGTTGCTTCTGATTACATTAACATGGCATCAAGTTTGCCTTTGTGAGGTTGCTATCTTCGCTCTGGGGTCCACACAGCACAATCGCAGAGCTGTGCAGCTGGAAGCCCCACCTCCTTCTATATCCTTCTCCAGCCCTTGCAAACCCAGCATTCTGCCATGTAGATGACCTGTAGGGCTCATTCACAAAGTCCCAACTCTTAGCAACTGTCCTCCACTACCAGGTTCCCAGTTCCCGCAGCAGCCATGAGCTACACCATGCTCCCTTTCCCTTTTTTCCTTTTTTTTTTTTATTTTTTGATTTTTAATTTTTTTTTAATTTTATAATTTAATTTAATTTTACATATCAGCCACGGATTCCCCTGTCCTCCCTCGTCTCACCCCCACCTCTGCCCTCCCCCCAATCCACCCCCCATTCCCATCTCCTCCAGGACAAGGACTCCCCTAGGGATTCAGCTCAGCCTGGTAGATTCAGTCAAGGCACGTCATGCTCACTTTTCTTCGGCAATTTGAACTCTCCTTCCATGGTGGAAAGAACATAATCCCAGGAAAAGGCCTTTCAGTTTGGGTGTGTATGTGCAGAAGAGGAGACAGGGCCAGAGCCTGGGGTAGGATGTAGACAGGGAGAGAAAAAAGGAAGATTCTGGTTATCCCTGCCCCAGCCTGCCTTCCAGAGGCTTGAACTTCAGGCAACCTATAGATCTCTGCCAAGACACTGATGTGTACCCAAGATGTATCCAACCCCTAGACACCTGCCAAGATACCCAAAATACCTCATCCTGCTAGCTGAGGTCAGAGCAGAAGCCCTAGTCAGCAGTCTCTCTGCAAAAGCCATCCTCTGCCTGATGCCCCACACCCACAGAGGGCTCACAGGAGGCCCTGAGCAAACCCACCCTTCTCCTCTGCTCCTTCTAAGACCCACAGATGCCAGGTAACCAGTCCACAGATTCCAACTCTCCAGGGAGGCTGAACAGGAGTCTCTGCGGGGTGAGGGCCAGTGAAGAGGAGCAGATTCCTTCACATGTTCCAGAAAATACCCTATTTAGTGTGGTGAGGCAGAGCTCTGTCTCCCACCTCAGGCCTGAATGGAAGTCAGGCTAGGTTCCATGTATAGCCATTTCAGGACTAAGAGCTGAGAGGCTGCCTCACCGGGGATGCTGGGTGTGCTGGCACAGGGTGTCAACGGCAGGGGAGGCTGTTGAGGGAGGGTTAGAGAATTCAGTTCATGGAAAATCTGTACTTCTGCTCAATTTTGCTGTGAACTTAAAACTGCTCCAAGAGTAGTTTATTAATTTAGGCCTGGGCTATATAGCTCAATGGTAGAGTACTTGACTTGAACATATGTGGCCCTAAATTCAATCCTCATGACCAGCAAGGTGGGGGTGGGGGGAGGGAAGGAGAGTGGAAGAAGGGAGGAATGAGGAAGAGGAAGAAAGAGAAAACTGGAAAACACTGAATTGAAGTTGCATTAGCAAACAGCATTTTAATTTAAAAAGAGAAGGAAGATTCAGACCCGACCTTTAAAAAACAAAAAGGTTCACACAAGAGTTTTGTTTTTACTTTCAAAATTTCATTTATTTCAAAATCCTATTACAGTCAAAACAGTGGAATTAACCATATATAATGAACTATATACATGCATACACATGTTAAGTTATGGGGAATAAAGTTTATTTTGGTAGGTAGTATTAATGAAAATTAAAATTGCATACATTATAACAAAACTCAACGTCCTTAATTTAGTACATGTCTGACATATTGTCTTGCTTTCCTGGGTTCTGCCAAATTGCCGCACCTAAACTGTTTTTAAATACTTATTTAATTTTACTGTCTTTGCCTATACTCTGATTCCAAGCAAAATTTTGCATAAGCTTCTCTAATATCTGGTCTATTTCATCATCAATGTCATCCAAATATGTATGACCAGCCCCTGATAAATCTGTTCCATTTTCTTCATAATCTGAAAATAGATAGATGATAGATGATAGATGATGAAGAAGAAGAAGGTAGATAGATAGATAGATAGATAGATAGATAGATAGATAGATAGATAGATAGATAGATAGATAAAAAACCTTCTTTTTCAACTAACCCTTCATATATATCTTGGTGATCTGCAGCCACTGTTCCAGCCCCAGACTATCCCACCTCTAAGGGCCCAGAGCTAGACTCCTCTGACTCCAGGGAAAGTGGGATCCACTCCTAGAACAAACAAAGCCCCAAAGAGTTCCACCTAGTTTTCAGGATAAAAATCCCACAGCAGAACTCAGAGGCAGCAGTGGCTAAGCCTCAAATGATTGTGGCTCCTGTGCCTAATGTCTAAGCCATCTACAGACAGCTCTGAACTTTATCCATCAAGTCCCTCTTCTGAATAAACAGAAGCCCATGGGGATGGTTGTGAGTCATATCTCCTACACCGGAACATGTTCAGGATTTTCTGAATTGTCTCATAGAGCAGCCTTGGAGATTTGAGGTAGAGCCTGAACATTTTGCAGAAACCCTGACTGTTTAAGTTACAACAGGAGATGCTTGGCAAGAACTGTACGACTCTGCCGGGCGGTGGTGGCACATGCCTTTAATCCCAGCACTTGGGAGGCAGAGCCAGGTGGATCTCTGTGAGTTTGAGGCCAGCCTGGGCTACAGAGTGAGTTCCAGGAAAGGCACAAAACTACACAGAGAAACCCTGTCTCGAAAAACCAAAAAAATAAAAATAAAATAAAATAACTACATGACTCTTCCACCAACAGGCTGAGTCTATCCCAGTTCTCTCTCCTATGGGAGCCTGTCTGTGTATCAGACTGGCAACTTCCTTCCACTAAGTGCTGCCTCAAAGACATGGAGATGAATAAGAACTTAAGCTCAAGCTGCAAAGGGGATGGATCAGGCTGATCCCGCCCATCTGTGCTGTTTCTGGGAGACCATCATCTTAACCTCCATATCAAAGGAACCAGCAGACAGATACATGTTCCTCAGGTGGGTCTGTGGGAATTGCTGAGTGCTCTCTTCTCTGTCCCTATGGAGGTCCACTTAATTCGTGTGATAAAATTACTGAAGTTGGTAAGCTCA